GTTCGTCCGTTCGGAATGCGTTCTCTAACCGTTCGTCTCGAGCTGGAGATTTTTGGATTTTCTTGAATATACTGATTTTTTTAGGGCTGTATTTAGTTTTTAAGATATTTCCTCGCTCTTTTGTGAAACACGATCTGAAAGGAGTGTTGAAGTGTTTAGAGGTAGAAATTTGCACCCACTCCTCCCCCCACAGACCGTGACAGAGAAATCCTAGTACCCATCACAGACCGTGACAGAGAAACCTCAGTACCCATCACAGACTGTGACAGAGAACCTCCGAACCCATCACAGACCGTGACAGAGAAACCTCACTACCCACCACAGACCGTGACAGAGAAATCCTGGTACCCATCACATACCGTGACAGAGAAACCCTAGTACCCACCACAGACCGTGACAGAGAAATCCTTGTACCCATCACAGACCGTGACAGAGAAACCCTAGTACCCACCACAGACCGTGACAGAGAAATCCTAGTACGCATCACAGACCGTGACAGAGAAATCTCAGTACCCATCACAGACCGTGACAGAGAAATCCTGGTACCCATCACAGACCGTGATAAAGAACCTCTGGACCTATCACAGATCGTGACAGGCAGGGCTCCGGATCCGCCACAGACCGTGACAGACACTCACGTGATCCATCACCGACCGTGGCAGACAGGCTTTGGACTCGTCAAAGACCGTGACAGACAGGACTCAGGGGTCATTATAGACTATGATACAAGACTTTAAGAAAATATCAGAGATGATGCATAACTCACATATGACTGAAGCATAACTCACATATGACTGAAGCATATATGGAGTATTATCCTGTTGAAAGTCTATAATGTAAGGTAAACCATTATGAAGAAATGTACATCAGTATGCATAAAAAATAACAGCTTTTAGAACATCGGCTATAGCAGCTACATCGTGTTTCACTTTTTTAATCCTGCAAGGGATTGCGCTAACAGCTTTTTATTTGAGAGTTGATTAATTTCAACCTACTATCATCATTACTTTTCATATGAGCTATGTTATAGTTTTCTGCGGCTATCTACGGGATGTACTTGAAGTCCAGGAAGACCTTTCCTAGCTAGGGACCGAATTAATAAGTCCTCAAGAGGTATCGTAAGAGAGTACCTATCAGTTTTGGCCGATGTTGGCATTGACTAATATCGGTATTGATATTAGTATTGGTGTTTCTAGGATCCTCCATAATTTGCACCGAACAACCCAATGTTGTCTTCTAACAATAGGGAGAACCTAACAGAGACAGAGAAGGATGCGTTTTTTTGGGGGTCATCATTTTTTACACTATTGCATGGATGAAATCAAGTGATATCGGTGTCGATTTGAGGTTTTGAGGAGTGTTCTATAATTCGCCTCGAATAATCCTATGCTGTCTTCTAACAACAGGTGACAACCTAATATGGAGGTAAGTAGAAGTAGATGGGTTTTTGGGTTCTCGTTTTTCCTACTATTCTATGAGTGAAACTTAGTATTGTCCGTGTCTAGTATACTGCGTGATTAATATTTTTGGTCACGATCATGAATTTTTTACGATCCAATTTACGATCACGAATATGGCGTAGGATTTAGAAACATAAGAAAAGTTTTTTACAGTTCGGTCAGATCATCTGTTTAACATATTCCATTAGCTATTAGGTATAGATACATACTAATATTTTTGTATTCTACTCTGTTCTGTTGATGAAAACGGCACAAGAAAAACGCACTCTCCAGAACTGTCATACTGCCTAGAGTACACTTCTCGTCAAGATCAAAAATAAGAAAAATTTCATAATTTACTATAATAAATTGCTCTAGTTAAAGCCATTTCAAAATAAAAGTAACTCATAGTTCAAGTGATAAACAAAAAAATGAATGTTATGAATATAATGAATATTTTATTTACACAGGAGTATTAGACTTCAAAGAAGATAAATTCGAATTGCAAAAGATGAGATGTAGTAAATTTTGATGTGCTATTAAGATTAGGAATAAACATTAGATACATATCCTTATAAAGATCAATGACGTACAGCTAGTAAGTTATTTTTTGCTTTCATCTTATAACAGTAAAAGAATTAAAAATACACAGAGAACTTTTTTAATATTTATTTTATTGATATTCATTCTTTTGCCTATTCTAACCATGTTCATCTTAATGTAGAAACGTAGAGAACAAATCTGAATACTATTTGATACTACTATCAACTGTTGGTTCTGGATTCTTTTTCGCCATTCAAAAGCTTCAAAATGTTGTGTTGTGGAGTTGAAAAGTTGTTGTTTAAACTTGTAAGATAAACAGCTCTCTCTCACCCTTTCTGGTTCTTTTACAGAGCAGAATAAAAACTTTTTTTTTAACCTGCTCTATATTGATCTCTGTTAGATACTTTGTTCGTCTTTTCACTAAAAGTACCATAAGAAATATCAAGTTTTTTCTGATTGAGTGTGAACATTGAATTTCTGAATAAATATTTGAGATTTTAAACGTATATATTACAATCGTGACCGTGATTCGTAATTCATGCATTACAGTACACTATCCGTATCAGTTTGTGGTTTTCAAGAATGGTCTATAATTCCCTCCGAACAATCGTATGCTGTCTTCCAACAATAGGAAAGAACAATACGTGAATAGTATTGTTGAGGACTAGTTTACGTTTGGGATTTTTTCCGATTTTAAATCCGAAAAGATCCATATTTTCTCTCTTAGAGAAGACTCATATTATTCTAAATCGATATTTTCGATAAATACAAGGCTAGTTTTCGAGAATAAAGACTTTTTCTAAGACTTAATTAAAAATTTTTAGTTATCAAAAAAATTTGAATTTGTAATCAATTTTTCGAAATTTTTGAGTTAGATTTATTCGGTCAGAAAAATTTACTTCTTATGGTTTATTTATGTTTCATAACATTTAAGTATCTTTTTTTTTCCTTTAGATCTCTCCTGATCGAAAATATCGAACTCCAAGTATTTTCAAAAATCCGATTAGAGATTCGGACTTCTCCATTTCAATAATCTTTAATCAAGTTTTAGTTTAAAAAATCTTTATTTTCGGAAAATAGCTTTATTTTCAATGAAAAAAATCGAATTAAAACATTATGCTTCTCACTGATAGTTAATCACCGTAATTTCCAGTCTAATGCCAAATATGTAAGAGCATATCATCGTCTGCAATATTCAAAGGTGCTGAACTGCTGAAAGCTCTAAATTTGCATTTTCTCTCTTTATCTCATGAGTCATTAAATTTAATTTTTATTTGATCTTATTATATGATCCAAAAAAGAAATCTCATGATAATAATTTAATATAAAGAAAATCTAAGAAGACAAATATTCGTGCATATTTAGTTGATAGTTGAAAAATTCTAACAAAACAAAACAATAAGATTTTTAAATATTTAATCATCTATTTGATAATTCTATATATATGAAAAGTTTAAATCAAAACTTACAAATTCAATAGCATAGAAAAGCCATTCAAATTTTTGAACAAAAATATATTTAAGTTGAACAGGTATTGAAATAAGAAGAGTAAGTATTTTCAGATGTTGTCTATCTTTATATGTCCATTCTAGATAAGGACCTAGAAAAATAAATCATATTTAAATTCTTATTTATAATAAAGATACATTATTTTAAACATCAATATAAACAAGAATTAATAGTTCTACAACGAAGGAAAGAAAAAAAAAAATTCAAACTTCATTTATAATTTCAATAGTGCTTCGGATGAACAAATACATTATTAAATAACAGTAACTGATCATTTTCAATTATAATTCATTTATAGTTGAAAATAAAAAATATAACTTGTTTTTTTTTTGGTCAAATTTTAGAATAGTATATTTTTATAATATGGAATTTTAATGAAGTAATGAAAAATACAGAAGAAATTATATTATCTTATATTCGCTACTTTCTTTATCTTGTTACTTTCTCTCTTCTTTTATAGATCATAATAGAGATTTTTGCAAAATCATTTTCGTTTGTGTCTTCATAAATAGCAATATGTCTATGAAATGACATTCTATAATAGGGATACATTAATTACATGACAAACACTGAAATTGAAATTAATGAATTACTTCTCTAAAACGTAATTCTAAAATAATATATTAATATATTTTATAAAAATAAATTTGTTTCTCTCATATTCTTAAAGTATCTATTGTGATTGTTGAGATTTGAATAAGATTTAAAATAATGTTCTTTTTTTATTCATATTTTTTCTATAATGTCTTTCAATTAATAATTTCTTTGATGATAGACATATATTAAAAGTAAAGAATAACTTCAAAAAATTTAAAATAATTTGTCTATTTACAATATAAACAATTGAATTATATCTTACAGTTTAATTTTACAAAATGTTTTACTAACTAAACTAGTTTCTATTAATGGCACTTCTTCCTTTACCTTTTCTAGGGTTTCTCAAGGATAGTTTGGCTAAACATTCTGAAACTTTCATGGGAGATAGACTTCGACTAGTAGAACAAAATTTATCATCAGCTCAAAATTGTCAGATACTTTATTTTATGATATATAGGAAACACAAGGACCAAAAAATGATCTGAAGTCTCTCTCACCATATACAGTCACAATTCATTTTTTATGGCTGAATCTTTTTTTTTTTGTAACAACTAGGATCAAATTGAAGTATCTGTTTTTTTTTCGTTGAAAAATATTGTTTCCTTCGCTTAAGAGAACCAAAATAGTGGGAGCCCAATCAAAAAAAAACTTGTTTTTTTTTGCATAGTGCAAATTTTGCAAGGCATACCAAAAACCACCAAAACGTTGTTCTTAGAAGGAAAAAAACAAAGATAGGTACTTCGATTTAGTCGTAGTTGTTACACAAAAGATTTCGATTCAATCGGTCATACCATGTCGGAGGAAAACGGGGGAAATTTTGAAGTTTTTGCTTGAAAATTTGATATTGAGAAGAAAGCAAAAAAAGTTGCATTTTTTGACTTTTTTAACATAAAGTGGAATCTTTTATTAAGTTTTTTATATTAAAAAAAAGGGTTTTAACTTTTCAAAATATGTTCATTGGATAGAGAATATTTAAATCAGAGATGTCCATCGCGGCTCAAAATCTGCCTCTGCCGCGCCGCGGCCAAAATCCAACAAAGCTGCCGCGCCGCTTCCGCGACGCGATGACCTGTTAAAAAGAAGCTACCGCGCCGCGTCTTAAAAATAACTTGCCGCTGCCGCGATGGTATTCGAAAAAATGTTTTGATTTTCAAGGCTGTGACTGGTTTGAACTAGAACTGGTGCTGCTAATCGATCAGATTCGTTAAGTCTTACAGTATAGCATACATGAACATGCAGATTCTGTGCAAATTCATGAATTTTTGAAATTTTTTCCTAAAAAAGCTGCCGCCACCGCGCCGCTGCCGCTATGCAAAATAAAAATCTCTCCCACGCCGCTGCCGCGCTGCGATAGTTTTTGGAAAAAATCTGCCGCTGCCGCGCCGCCACCGCCACGGCGGCAGCGCCGCGATGGACATCTCTGATTTAAATATATATACTGAACATAAAAAAATAAACAATAAGAAAATTTGAACATTTTGAGTCAGCAAAGGGGCAGAGAGAGGATGGCCTTAATAAAATAATACATTGCCTAAGAAACATTTCATTAAATTGAAAAGAAAAAAAAATTAATTTTTACATACGAATACGACGACCAGAAAAATATCCAAATTTAAGTTTTGTAATATTTCGAAGTTGACTATTATTTAAATTTTGTTCTCTCATTTCAAATGATGTTGTCAACGATTCCAGAATTTTTGATTTAACCTCATAACTTCCTATAGAAAAAAATAAATTTATTTATAATTTTTCCAAATCTTAAATATCGAATATATGTCAGAAAAAATTTATATAAGAAAATATTTCTAATGATGATAGACTTTGTGTAAAAATAATTGAATGTATGACAAATAAATTTATCTATCCCAATAAATGAATATTTATTATTGTTAGAAAAAATATTGATGTACATATTCACAATTATAAAATTTCTCTATCACAATCTTTAATTTTATCATTATTACATCTCTTTTACAATCGATTGTTCTACAGAAGAAAAAATTAAGGTAGATGATTAAAATTGTTGTGATGAACTTAATATCGGTGATAAATGAATAGTTCTTCATTCTCGTATAATTCGATAGACAAATTGTTTCAAAAATGATCAATTTCTATTGTTAAAAATGGGTCTGTGACAGTTGTCAATCAAAGAACGGAACTGGCTACACCATCAAATTCTTTTTTAGAGAACCGGAATTTGTCCGAAAGCCCTATCATATAGGGTTATCCATAGGTCCCCAAGAACTACTCTAAAGCGGCACCCATAGCTCCTCAAGGCCTGTTGTATATGGATATGCATAGATCCTCAAGAACTATCAAATACCTAATAGTGAATTGATGTTTGGTCAAATAGGAACTGAAAGTTCACTGAAATTTAAAAGGGAATGCTTTTGACATAATGATGATTGTAAAGTAAAACCACTGAATGAACTGACTCATTGTCATCATACTAAAGAAATTAGCCCATTGTTTCATCTTAAAGGTAAGAGTAAGTGCACACATCTTGCGATATCAGGTGACGCATTATTTTTATCCACATTCCGAGCCAGTTCGTGAATCACATCTGAGTGATGTTCTTGCGACAATTTTATGACTTATGCATAAGGGAAAAGCAGCAGCGACTTCAGTCTTGAAGTCTTGTGAAATCTCTTGAAGTCCGATGAAGTCTTCTGATACTTTTGAAACACATGTGGTGAACGAAAAGTTCATAAAAATATCAGTGAAACTGTCTTGTTTTCGATAATCTTATTTTATTATAAACGTGAATTTTAATGCAACTATATATGAGTGAAAGAATAATTCAACAATTGATTCATGTCTTATTATTCATCATTACGATATTGATTATTTGCATGATACTGACCGAAAATATACTTTATTATTTTATTATCAACTTCTATAAATTAAAGAGAACCATAGTTCTGATGTGATGGTCGAAAAAATGATAAAATAGACTGAAAATTCAACTAAAAGAATTCTGCATAGATTAATTTAACTTCATATATTAATATATATGATTATTTGACTTATTTCTCTATTGAAAATAAAATAAACATTTGTGAATAAATCAATTGTTGATTTATTTCTTCAATTATATATAGTTGCATTTATTTAAAATAAAACATATTTTTATTATCTTAATTTAATCAGTAGTGTGTTCTGCATGGTACGGAAATTTCTAAGGTTGATCGAATGCTTATATAGCCTTGAAGTCTGTTGAAGTCTCATGAAGTCTTTAGAAACCTTTGAAAATTTTGAAGTCTCTGTTCTTGAAGTCTTTTGAAGTCAGCTGTTTCTCCCTTGCTTACGCGTAAAAGTCCGTGAAAACTCCTGAGGACTGACGCTAGATGTCGTTTGAATAGTTAATGGTACTTGATACCTCTCCACTATATCGTTTCTAAAAAGTAAACAGAAATACCCAAGACAACCCTTGAAATATTAATGAATCGCAATCTCTAAAGACTTGAGATCTTATGGAGAGTAATAGGATAGCTCTTCAGAATCCATGAGCACCCTCATAGAACACCCTTTCGAGACCTATGGATACTCCTATATGATTGAGCGAGATGTGATCCTATTCCAAAATTCTAGAATTCTGGAATAATCAATTTCAGAATGATTAGAATTTTTTCAATTTTCGAATAATCAGAACCTTGGAATAATCGGAATTTTCGAATAATTCGAATAATCGAAATTTTGAAATAATCAGAATTTTTGAATTATCGGAATTTATGAATAATCAAAATAATCGCAATTTTGTATAGATGTTTTCCCCTTCACCCTCAGCAGGAGAGATGCACTGTGTGTTTCGCCTACAACCTCAGCGAGAAAGATATTCTGTATGTGTTTCGCCTTCACCCTCAAGAGAGACAAACGCCCTGTGTCTGTTTTCGTGAATGTTTCTCTTTTCATCTATACTTTTCATACCTCCAATATCTCTCACATTAAAACTTAAATAGGTTTCCAGAAAATCAATAAAATACATCTTATGATTTATCTATGTAACTATCTGTTTGTGTATCAATCAATCAATCAATCAATCTATCTATCTATCTATGTATTCATTTAATTGTCTATTCGAGATCAACTGTTCCAGAAGTAGCAGCGACGTCCTCAGTATTGTTGTTTATTGTTTTATTTCATCACTACAGTTATTCAGTCGAAAAGCCCGGTAATATTATCATTGAGATTTATCTTGTATTGAAATTCTGATTATTGCAAAATTCTAATTATTCCAAAATTCTAAAAATTCTAGTCATTCTGAAATTGTGATTATTCCAGAATTCTAGAATTTTGGAATAGAGTCACTGCTGGGTCGAGCTTGAGGTCCTTTGGGTATCCTTATTTAATTGGTCTTGAGGACGTATGAGGATTCCTGTACGATAGCTTATGGAAACCTTTGGAAACCCCTATATAATAGGCTTTGAGAACATATGAGTGCCTCTATATGATAGGGCTTGAGGATCAACGGGTACCCTTATATGATAGCCTTTGAGAACCTGTGAATACTTTTATAGTATAAAACGTGGACTCATGTTAATTGATAAAATATAGACTAGAAAGAAAATGCTAGCTTCAAATTTGGGGTATAGGAAGTTTGGTGCTTACTTTGTTTGACTTCCTATGTCTCAATTCTCAAAAAGAAAAAAAAAATAGTGCTCTGACCTAGTTCTTAGAAAAAGAACTGATTTCATAGACCCGATTTTCGAAAAAAGAAATAGTTCTAAGAACTGTCAATTGTCACAGACCTATTGTTGAATAGAATAATAAGAATTAAAATAAATTAATAAAACATCTCTTCGAAGAAACATTTGATTGTCAAAAATGAATAATAACTAAATGAGAGTTTAAATGAATAGTTATTGATACATTTGTTAAGATTATAACAAAGCAACTAAACCCTCAAAGACTTAATTCATTCTGTTTTTTGTTTTTCGTTGTTTAAAGTTATATCTTTTATATTTATTTAATAAAATTAAATTGAATACTTTTTTTGTTATGCATGAAATAGAAATTTCTTAAGTAACAAATATAGTTAACTAAGTTGAATTGCTATTAAACTATCAAAAAAATTGTTAGTCTAATTTAGACTAAAAAAGTGTTTATTTATGAAGAATTCTTTTATCTACTGAGATTTATTTTCATTGAAAAAAAGTAATGAAGAAATTAATGTCTGAAAAAATAAATGAATATTTAAAAAATAAAATTCGATTAACTTAAATAAAAAAAAAGAAACAATATTAGTATTTCTCATATTTAGTTACTTTAACTATAATCAAATGAAAATCAATTTTGACAAATGAAAAATTTTCAACTATATCAATTGATTAGATCTTCGAATAGAATAATATTAAAAATGAATAAAAATATCTAATCATATTTATTGAATTTGATTACTTATTTATTTTTTCATCGACCGTCATCTTTACAAAGATCATTGAAAAAAATATTTACCTATATCAATTGTCATAGAACAAGTATTAGGACATAATTTATTGAATTGTTTGAGAAATACATAGAATGATGGATGAATATTATTTTGAATATATTCAATATCAGACCATTCATATATATATGGATATTTACTTAATAAACAAGAAAATAATTTCATAAATAAAAAAAAAAAGTCTCTTACAATAAAAGAATAGAACGTTGAAATTTTTTAAGATTAGAAGAGAATATATGTTGATCTGATCTATTTTCATCATAAAAACATTGAACATTTGTCCATTGATGTAAAATAAAAAAAGAATTTATTTTAAAAGAATTAATTATTTCTGAAATATTATTTAATGATGATTGACGTTGAGCACATATATAAAAATAAAAATATTTTAAATTAATTATTTGATCAGGTAAACAATATCGACGAATAAAATTTGCATCAATAACAGATTTCCATATTAATTGATTTTCCTTCCATATATATCCACTATATAAATAAATTTGTAATTTTGTAATATAATTTAAATTATTAAGAAGCCATTTTAAATAAATAAATTCAAAATCATTATCAATAAAACTTTTTAATATAAAGTATTTTAATTTTGGCATCTATTTTTGAAAATAATCAATTATACAATTTTAAAATTTTTGTTTTATTCAAGTAGTAAAATAAAATGTCATTTATTGAAAATAATTTATTTATATTATTTTATTCTTTTCTTCTATTTAATAAATTAATAAACAAAATATTCTTCTTTAATTTAATTGAATAATTTTGAATAATTATTCATTCTAATTAGATATTTTTAATATCAAATTAAATCATTGAAAGATGTCACTTTATGAAATACTTTTCTTTTAAAAATCAATTCAAAGTATTCATTCATTTTGTTAATTTTAAATTTGATCTATTCTTACATTTTATATCAAAATTAACTATCTGATAAAACCAGTGGAATTAATATTGAATAGTTTTTTGTTTTTCTTTTGTCTAAATTTCTTTTAATCGTCAGTTTAGTGAAAATAGAAAGAAAGAATTCGAATTTTTTATTATAGGTAAAAAAACGTTCGATAAATTTATAGGAAAATCACTTTTTAACAAAATTGGAAAAAGTCAATTTTCATGATTGAATGATCATTCTAATGACAAACTTATTAAGGGCCCCCCCCCCCCCCCCGTCAGAAATGAAGTCCCACTTCGGACCTTGCGTTTGGGCTGAAATTTTCAGGGATAATTGGTCTTAGTGAGAAACGCTTATGATAAAAATTTCAGCTTCACATGTCCGACTAAATCGCAGTTGTGGTTGGTTTTCCTACTTTTCCGAAGAATCGAAATAACTCCGTCCAGAGAAGGGATACAAAGCTCGGGTTGGTTTCAAATTGTAGCTAGCCTCTGTACGCAACTTTTCATCAGACGGAATTTTGAAAGTTCCTTCCATTCATTTTTTACGAGCGATCTTGTGAGCATGCTGGCAAAATAAGCATAAAAAAGTGTGGTTCGACAACAGTAAATTTCACTTTTCTCAGCCCTGGGGTTCAATATAAAAAATCCGTCCGATGAAAAGTTAGCTCTAATCAAGACCTTTGAAACAAAAAAAAATCATGGGTCATATGCCGAACTGACTGGGAGTTATTTCGATTTTCCTGTCTAGAAACCGTGTTTCGAGAAAAATGCTAAAGAAATTTTAGAAATGGATTTTTGCATTAAAATCCAGAACAAGTCATGTTATCGTGGCATATTCCACTGGACTGTCTAAAAGGACGTCATAGATGACGGCAGCTAGTGTCATCTAACATGGTGATTAGTATGAAAATGTTCTATTCAACGATAATGCTCGTGGGAACGCATTTTTTCTGAAACTGACAGCCTTAAAAAATCATGAAGTTTTCTACGAAAATATGGTAGTGGATTTTAATTTTCATGTAATAAGTCTTTGAAAATCTGATCATTTTCCAAAAAACTATATATATTCTGAAAGAAGAAGGTTCACTGCATCTTCCTGTAATAAAAACTTAACTTCGATATTTTTCCGAAAAACTCGATTTTTTGAGGGGGATCCCAATAATGCAGATCTTAAAAAAAATTCAAATATCGAATACAAATATCTCCTTCATCTTTATGAAAACTAATAAAAAAACAAAATGTTTCTAATAGACAATAGTTCATTGAAGATAAAGTGCAATTTAACTTTTCCTTTATCGATGTTACAATCAGATGTGCAGAATCTTTCTCATGCGCACCGGCACGGGGAGAAGAAATTTTTTGAAAACTTTCATCAACTCGGGAAAATTTTTCAAAAAAAAAAGAACTGTTAGAAGGGAAAACCTAGTTTTCTTCATAATTAACTGTTACAGAATATAATTCATTTCTTCGTGTTTGTTGTTTTAGTTGTATTCCCTGTCATTAATCTGGTCCAGAATACGCACATTGCTGTCGAAGTATAACTTTTTGTCAATGTTTTTTTTTTCATAAATTTCTTTGCATTCTCTTTTTATTTGCTGTCTTATATCGTAACCGAAGAAAGGAAGAGAAAAGAAAAAGATTGTTTTGATTTCTTGAAAGATTTTGTATCTTTGTCCATTCATCAAATCCTCTCTCAACAACTACTTCTTTCAATTAAAAGACAAACACTGGATTTTCTTCAGGAAAAAAAACAAACATTGTCATCTGTTCAAATTAGTTTCATCTGGTTTGATTGTTTAGAACCGTGTCATAAAAGAACAAATAGAAAGAATTCCTATGTTGTACAAATAGTAATGAACAGAGCGAGAGGTTCGCATGTTTTTTTTTTCAGATTCTGTTTTGTATCAAATAAAATTTGTCTACGAGCAGCGAAGATAAAATAGTTTGGGGAAATTTTCGAGTTTTTGGAAGATTCTGCATCTCTGATTACAATTATCCTTTAATGAACTTCATAGATCTTTCAACAATACTGGAAACCAGAGATGTTGACAGGTCGATCCGTTCGAATTCAATCCGCTCAATCCATAATCCAGCTCGAGGCTTGTTTGTAGATTTGATCTTTGACGAAATAGGAGTTGATAGGTGAACACCCGAATCAGTTTTATGCTTGACATATAATTCGTGACTTGCATTCTTTAACAAATTTCACCTTTCATTCTATTTTATCCTTCGTTCTTCCACTGTTTTGGTTATTTTTATTATTTCATCCATTCTTTGCGACCTGAATTCTTTCTTTTATTTGTTTTCACTACATGCGGATTTTACTCATTTGCTTACTTGTTTTGAGCATGTACATATAGCAAAACTAATTATATTAACCCTTGAGTAACCCGATAACTGACCCTTTAGACAAAAAAAAATTTTGTTCAATTCTTGAGGCCAATCGGATTGAGTTGACGATTTAAGAAAAAAAAAATCTGTTATGAACATCTCTGCTAAAAACTTTATATGAATTAGATGAAATATTACTTTATTTTTTTTGCTTCTCAACAGATAAAATCTATCGGAATCGATTAGAATCTAAATAAACTTATTAAAAAAGTTCAAAAATTCGACTCAAAGATTTCTTCTCATATCGTCTCCTAATTCAGTACCTACGAGTTATAGCAAAATTACCAATGATTAATTTTTTTTTTTACTTCTACAACAAACTTGAATATAAAGCAATCTTCTGTTAAAAATTGTTTGATTTTATAGTCTCAAATTAAAATAATAAACATAATAAGGATCAGTTCATACATAACTCTAATAAACTGTGTCAAACCTCTTATTACGTTCAGATCTATTCATTCCAGGATCTATCGAATTCTAAGAGAATCCAAATTGTCACCCTTGTTTAACAAACATACATTTTTCATATTAATCGATTATGATATTAACAAAGAAAATCTACACTTTTTCAAAAAACTTCGTAATTTAATAACAAACTCATTGTATTGATTGGAATGACATTATTCATAGTATCACCCTTGAAGGTTTGTTCAAATACAAAAATGAACCTTAACCTTTTTGATCCCGTTTTTTTTAATCTTATTGACTTACTGACCTGTTAAGAGGGCGCCGGGATCGAAAAGAGATCAATAGGAAATAATATTTATGTATGAGATAAAATTTAATTAAAGAGTTTTATAAAGAACAAACAATTAAAATAATCTAATATTCATCATCTTACTTTATTGAACCAATTTTCATTTGATAGTTTTGGTATATTAATTTTGGAATCAAGATAATACTTATCAAGTAATGAATTAAGAAAATGAATCGATAATTGTTCAAGATTGGGTACATATTCAATGAGATGTTCAAGAAAACATATGTGATTAAGATGAATATGCAAATGACGTAAAGTTATAGAATAAGTTTGAAAATCATTAGAAATTTTGTTTGTTGAAACATAAGAACGTGAATTTAAACTTTGATGAATTTCATAAGATAAATTTGCTATATCGAGTTGAAGAAAAGTTAATTGACATTGATTAGAAAATATTTGACATAAAATTTGTTTAAGCATACTTTTTATCTTTTCTATTGAATTAATAAGAAAAACAAAAAAAAAGTCATTTAATCATTATAACATTTCAAATATAATCTTTTCATTCACTTCAGGAGGAAGAAATTTCCAATAATAATACTTTTTATTTATAAACAATACCGAAACATCCAAGATGGAAATAGTTGATTCTAGAATAGTAGAATCAACTGAAATTACTAGAAATCACTTGGAATCATGAAAATCATTCGAAATTACTCAGAATCATTCTGGAATCACTCTGATTCATTTTTTATATTGTCTGTTTCTCTCACTTATTATCACACAAAAACATGCGACTGTTCGGACTATATGAAAGAGGATCTCTTAACTAGATATGCATCTGTGCCATTTAACTAGGAACTAGGCAGATTGGTTATATATTTAACTAATAGATTATTTATTAAATCATCGGTGATTTACAGGAAATCATAGCTTCTGGAGACCTATACTATTCGGGTAGTCAAAAATTTTTAACGTCTATTCTATAGAGTTACTCAAAAGTCCTCAATGCTATTAAATAGGGCTACCCATAGAATGTCGACAGCTATTACATATGGTATCCATAAGTTCTAAAAGTCTCTTGTATAGAATTATCCATGGATCGTCAAGAGCCATCCTATTGGAATATTCATAAATCGTCACCATCTATCCGGTAGGAATATTCATAGGTCCTCGAAGTCTATTTTATAGGTGTAGCCATTGATGACCTGTGTACCTCCATCTAATAGAATTTCAAGATTTATGGATACTCCTATAGTGTATTCATAAAGGACTTATAGGTACTCCATATTATAGCACTTGAAAACCTTTGGTCAAGCCTATATAATAGGGTTTGAAGACCTGTGAGTACCTCTCTGTATAAGAGTCCTTGATAACTTTTAAATAACTCTCTATAATAGCCAATGAACGTCTATCGATACCTCTATATAATAGAGCTTAAGGATATATGAGTACATCCATAGTATAGGCTTTGAGGACCCATCGGTACTCTATAGTATAGTACTTGAAAACTTATGGATATCTCCATATGATAGCCTTTGAATATCCTATATCAGATGCTAAGGGAGAAACAATTGATTTCGAGTGACAGAATGATTTAGAATCAGTGAAATCACTTCGAAACATTTGAAATCGTTGAAGTGTAGAGTTAAAAATTTGGAGCTATTCATCTCCTTCGACAGACTGTAATAGACATCTTAACAACGTCCCCTTCATAGCGGCCAGTAAAAAAAGGCCAGGAGAAAAAAATTCCCGTATTTTGGATGAATCGCTTTTGAGAAGAGGATTTTTAATAAGTAAATATACGCTTTGTAGTGTGCTCAATGCACTTTCACTTGATATTAGGTGTAGACAGTTTAAACTCGTGAGCTGTGGGAAGCTGCCATAATAAGCTAGTCACGAGCTTCTTTCAGATGAGCTTGAATTGATGTGCCAGTTCCCAATCTCGAACCTGAAATGGAACTGTCACATCCCTATTTCATATATTATTCAATATTTTTTGCATGTCACATAAATGAGAAAATTAGATATTAAGAAAAAATATTTGTCGTCTGGTTACTCACTATGCCCTCCATAACAGATCGTGTCAGACATCATAGCAATGCTTGTTTTTTAAAGACTGTCATGGACATAGGCTAAAAAGTAGATTTTATTATACATTTTCCTAAATAATTAAAAGGGAAATTCACGAGTTTATAGGTAAACTAACAAACTCCAGGAATATATTGATTTAATTACGGTTTATAATTGGAAGAGTATGTTGAATTTATACGATGTTGACTAAAATTGATTTGCTAAACATGTTTTTCTATTAATAGCAGTAGTTATTTCGTTTTTAACACTTTAATCCATACAGGAATTGTAATAATAGATTTTTCTTTATTATATGAAATCTATTGTTAAACAATACGAAAATACTTATTGTTCAACGTATAATTCATGTTAAATAATCAATTAGTTGCTTTTATATATTCAATTAAATCTATCAATAATAGTTATTGAATAGTAAACCTTTGACGATAATCGATTTCACTTTTCTTCATAAGAAATAGCTGATGTCATTAAAATTATTACTCCATAAATATCTTTCATGTAATATTTCAACAGGACACATATTAATTTTTCGAAACGACACACACTACTACTTCTAGATCTCATCGTTAACTGAGATATTATTATTACTCACTGACTCATTCTCGCCTATATGTTTCTACTGTAGAAAGACTTTTATTTTCAAATAATAGAATTACATCTTGCTTATCAAAAGATCAGTTAAATGAATCATTAATTACCATGTTTAGAACGAATTGATGAAAGTTTATATCCACTACTAAATGTTTCATAAATATCTTCATGAAATGTTAATGTAAGTTGATTTAATTGATATTGAATAAGAAAAGATAATGTTTGAATTAATGATTGAGATAATAAACATCGAGTTATATAAAGTGATTTAAGATTAGGAAAACGATGAATTGATTTATCATTATGAGAAAAAATATCTTGATAAATTAAATTAAAACCAATTGAATTTATTCCATCAATATGAATATATTTAATAGAAGAACAAAGAGATAATGAATTAAATATTAATGGTAATAATATTTTAGAAAATTTTTTATAAGATAAACCTGGTTTATTAAAAATAATTCCATTTTTATTTATTTCAAATATTGAACAAATAATAGAATTAATACGTTTATTTAATGACCAAAATGATATTAAGATTTCATCCCATGAAAAATATAAAAATATATTTAAAAAAATTTCATTTGGTAATATTTCTAATTTATTTGTCATTTTACCTAAAAAAATAAAACTAATCTTTTGATTTTATTTAATTAGAAATCATTATTTATTTCAATGAAAAAGGAAAATAAAGTGAATAATTCTTATCATATTTATCTATTTTATTTTTTTTTGCACATTTTACTCTATTCTCTCATATTCCATCATTTCAATCAAAGATCTAAACATAATGAATAAAATTTTGTCAAAATTTGTAGAATTTTTTCTTGTAAACAAGATTTGACTATAGATGTGTTAGTTAATACAACATTTACTTTTTATTTGTATTTAATAACTAATATCAATAATTCTACTAAGGAAGAAAATTTTCCAAGTATGAGTTTCCATATTCAGCCGATTATTATAGTTTTATACAGTTCAATAAACTAATCACAATAACATAAAGTGTTCTTCTTCTAGACTATCTTTGAAGAGTTTAGTTGATGTTAATTTGCAAACAAATTATTATTAACTTTTATTTCAGAAATGTCAATTTTTATATTATATTAGTTCATTATATTTGAAGTTTTATCGTTAGTCGTTCATTAATTGACTGTGCATATCAATATAATAAACTTAAATAGAAGTGCTAACTATGTTCATACTATGAATATTTCAATACCATTGACCTTGTCGATATAAGAAATTCAATTGCTTTTTGTATGTCAAAATTTATTTAGTTCTTTGTAAAATACAATTCTATGTTCAATAACATTGGATATGCATAAAAAAAATCTATTGATCACATTTTAAATATCTATCTCTCGCATATATTGCTTTTCTTCAACTAAACATTTAAACAAAACAAAGTGTAGACTCTTGAAAATAAAATACCTAAAAAGATTTTAATTATTTCTACTTTGAAATAATATTTCGAAAAAATCGTAATCAGTTTTCAAAAAAAAAATTGAATTTCTTACATCTATAATGTCAATCATATTGAAATATTCATAGTAGTATAGACATAGTTAAAACTTCTATTCAAGTTTATTATATTGATATGTACAGTAGATTAAGGAGCATTCACCACCACTAAACCTTAAAATAGAAAAAACTAAAATAACATAAAAATTAAAGGATCTCAAATAATAGATTACAATGGTTTCTTTGCAAACTAAGATCGATCAACACAACTTCTTAAAGGCAATCTTCTGAGAGAGAAGAAAACTTTATATCATCATGATTAGTTCATCGAACTTTACAAACTATTATATATCTAGTTGAAAATGGAGACTTACACTTCTAAACCTTTTCTTGTTTTTTTCTTTAAAAAAAAAAGAAAGTGATTATGTTCAACTCTTCATAAATACATGAAGAGAATAAATCAAAGCATAAGTAAAAAAGAATAATTCTTGTAAGAATTTACATTAGTATTACTGTTTAAGAAAATAAAAAACATAGAAATTACTTGTTATTGAATAATCTGTCATTAAAAAATTAAAATGAAAATAATTTCGTCTTGATTCTTATAAAATAAGAAAAACTACTTTCTAGTAAAAACGAAAAAAAAACATACAAATGAATAACAAAGTTTTTTTCCGTATTGAAAAATTTTTTCTATATAAAAGCAGAAAAAGAAACAATCAAACAATTTTTATCTCTTTTACATCATTATATTAAAAGAAAGAATGAACATAAATTCTATCAAAGAATATTCAATGTTTATAAATGTCAGCATACTTTTTTTTGTATTTTAGTCTACTGTGTAGACGAAAAATATATCTTCTCTCTCCATTTATTTTTTTTCTCTCAAAACGAACAAATTCGACGAGAAAGTTCATATTCGATGGATGTGACGTATTGTTCACTGACCTCTTTTTTGTTTTTTTTCGTTCATTCATATATATGTTATTGTTTACTCAATTTTTAACGTCAAGAAAATAGAACAAAAAAAAAAAGAGGATATATAAATAATTGACAAAGTATAACGAAAGACATAATTATCTATGATTTTTCTATATTAGAAGGATTTTACTGGAATTTTTAATAACAATGTATAGATTCTATATATATATAGTAATGCTTTTATTTAAGCTATGAGCGAACATCGCTCCTTTAGCAGGAAAAAAAAATCAACTTGATACAACATTTTATAAGGACAAGTTGACGAAGAAGAGAAAAAAAAATAAAAAGGAGAAACAAAAGCTTTAGTTAACATTAATCAAGACATAGATGAAGTTAGCACTAGATTCGAGTAAAACCTGCCAAGATTCGCGCAGAAGCATGTTCCAAATGTTCCATTGGTGTTCCACGTACAACTCGATGAGCTCTATCGAATGGTATATTCCGATTCCCGATAGCTCAAACACAGTTCAAGAAAATCGGAAAATACTAGATTTTCATCATAGTCGATTTTGCATCCATCTACTAAAACCTGCCAAGATTCGCTTAGGAGCATGTTCCATGTACACCTTGACGCGCTCTATCCAATGGGGTGTTCAGATTTTTCACAACTCAAACTGAGTCGGAGAAAATTTGATAAAACTAGTGTATTACCACGACAATCCTGGATTTTATGCAGTAAAACCTGCCAAGATTCCCCAGAAGCATGTTCGAAATGTTCCATTGGTGTTCCACGTACAACTCAATGAGCTCTATCGAATGATCTATGAATGAAATGAATCAGTTGGGCACCTGAATAGAATATCTCGTCAGAACGTTTGCTAGTGAGATAAGTTTAACTACATCGAAAGACGATTTGATGGATGACTTATGGGCGTATACACATACTCGGTAAATTGATTGATATAGGTTCTTTTTAATTTGTTCAACTTCACTGGATTAATGAAATGAAGTGACTCTGTGAATTTACAAACTAACCAGAAAACACGTTCAAATCCGTTGCACTCTATATGACTTCTATTTTCATACAACCATGACTAGTTGAAATCGAAGATTTACTGCATATGATAGAAAAAACATAATTAGAATAGATTTCACAACGAATTTTTCCCTGCAACAAAACAATTCATTGGCCTATTTGGTTGGCTTCCACAATATAAAAGACTTCGGCAAGACAGTTCAGTCGATTGAAAACATGCATACAACATTTGATAGAGCAAATCAAGTTGTATCTAGGACACAAATGGAACATTTGAAACGTGCTTCTAAACGAATTTCGGCTAATTTTACAATATAAGTACCATCGCTACATACTATAGGACACATCTTTTAATATTTTTTCGCACATTATCTACAGTATAGTTTGTGGTTTCGACCATCGCAATCTACGAAAGCATGGAGCCTATTAAACGCTTCTTTGAACACGAATGGGACATCTACAAACATCTTCCTTGACAGATATAAGCTGATTTTACTGTATCAGCAACAAAGTCATGTATAATGAGGTCCATGTTTGGGATTTCTGCGTACACGGTTCGCGGTATTAAACAGCTCAATACACCATCGTATACAGATGTGTGAGCCCTCCGAAGCACATAGATGGAACATCTTGAACATGTTGCTCGAAGAATTTTGGTAGTTTCACCATATAGACTCCAAGCATTCTCTACTGATATAGAAGTATTTCTGGACTTTCTCGGAGTGGTTCGAGCTATCGCGAAACTGGTTATACTATTCGTTTGAGGTCATCCAGTGTTACTTCGAAAACAAACAAACCATCTGGAATATCTTCATCGCCAAATTTTGCCCGATTTCATGTCCCAAAACTAAACATTCCTGCACTGACGCAATAGTATTTTTGAATTTTCAGAGACTTAGCTTGAGCTACAGAAAATGTGAATGCACCATTGCCAAAAACTCAGCGCGTTTTACTTGGAACATAAGCGGAACAACTGGAACATCATTCTAGAAGAATCTTTACTGTTCTTACTGTCTACAATCATCGATTCCTGCGCTCACAAGCTAGAAATTTTGGGTTCTCGGCAGCGCAATTCGACCTACAGAAATTTCGAATGCATTATGAGATAAAACTCATCGAATTGCACTTGGAGCATAAGTAGGACAACTGGAACAACATCTCGGAAGAATCTTGGCTCCTTTTACTGTCGACAATCATCGATGTCTTCGCAAACACACTAGTATGTTTAGATTTTCTCAGCCTAGTTTGAGCTATCGAGTATATAATTATACCTTTGAACAGAACTCATCGAGTAGTACTCGGAATCTGATTGAACCATGTGGAACCTATTCCTAGAAGGGTGTTGGCCGTTTTCACTATCCCGAACCAAAGATTTCCTCTGTTGACACACCAGCATTTTCGCATTTTCTCAGACGCATTTTGACATAGAGGGTATCGAAACACACCATTCGATAAAACTCTTCGAGTTGTACTTGGAACACCAATGGAACATTTGGAACATGCTCATTGACGAATCTTGGCACGTTTTACCCTAGAGAATACCAAATTCTTGCATTGATTCAGCAATATTTTTAAATTTTCTGCAACACGGTTCCAGTTATGGAAAATCTGAATATATCACTTGATAGAGCTCATCGAGTTGCACTTGAAACACTAATGGAACACTTGGAACATGCTCCTGGACGAATCTTGGCACGTTTTACTATAGAGAATCCTGCATTCTTGGTTTGATGCACGAATATTTTTGAACTCTTTCCGACATAGTTTGAGCTACGGAAAATCTGAACATACAATTCAATAGAGCTCATCGAGTTGTACTTGGAACACCAGTGCAACGTTTGGAACATGCTCCTGGGCGAATCTTGGCAGGTTTTACTACATAAAATCCAGGATTTTTGTGGTGATACGCTAGTATTTTTAAATTTTCTCAAACTCAATTTGAGGTATGGAAAATCTGAACACGCCATTCGATAGAGCGCGTCAAGTTCTACTTGGAACACCAATGGAACACTTGGAATATACTCCTGAGCGAATCTTGGCAGGTTTTAGTAGATGGATGCAAAATCGCCCATGGTAAAAATCTAGTATTTTCTGGTTTTCTTGGACTTGGTTTGAGCTATCGGGAATCGGAATACACCATTCGATAGAGCTCATCGAGTTGTACTTGGTACACACCCTGGGACAGTTGGAACATGTTTCTGGGCGAATCTTGGCTGGATTCACTCGAATCTAGTGCTAACTTCACCTACGTTTAATCAAGGGATATATGTGATATAGATGTTTGACAGACGAAAAGAAGAGAAGATTTTCATCAATGATAACATAAAATAAAATCGAACAAAGATAGACGATCTTCGGATAGCATTTTACGAGTATTTTTACGGATTCTTCCTCGGCCAAATATTTTTCTTCTTCCAATCGCTAATGTTGGATTAGTAAGATATTCCCGAAGGTATAGGATCGATAATTTGTGTTGTAAGAAATCTTCAAGAATGCTAGGATTTGTTACTAAAATTGTGTGAATTAATTTATCCCAATGTTTAGATGTTAATTTCAAGATAGATTGATATTTGGGTAGATTTTCGATTTCGATATTTCTTGCATCAAACCATTTATGAATTACTCTGAATATTTTTCGATTCAGACCTTCCAGCTGTTGTATAAATTCTATTGATACATACAATATGTTACAATTTTTATTTTTTTATACTATAAAAATGTACAAAATGTTTTTCTAAAACTAGTTAAATTTTATTTAAAAATTCTTTATAAATGAAATTTTATGAATAATATACAGAAAATTTCTATTGAAAAACTTCGTCAATTGTGTGCATGTAACAAGAATGGATATAATAGCTGCATTCGGTATTGGTCTTGTCATCGTTTTCAAACATAATCAACTGCAGCACATACGATTAGGGAGGGTGATGGGGATTCCCCTCTCCTCTCTAAATTTTTTCTTGCGTTATAGTTTTCTTCCTGAAAATTTTTATTACGAGTAGTTGGAAGTTTCTACTCACTACTTTGGGGAAAAAAGTTCAGATGAGGGGAGATTAATTTAAATCTTAGGTTTATTTCGATGCAATTTACTAAATTTTGAGATTAATCAATGTGACATTAGATTAATATTTAATGAACATGGATTAAATTCCAAATTATACATCAAATTAATGAGCATTAAGACAAAGTAATGAAACTTCTTGTATCTCATAACAACTGACCCTGCTAGCAAATTAATTCATTTTTCTTATATTTTAGCTTCCGACCTTAATTTTTTATTTAAAATTGCTCGTTGAGTTCCAAATAGGCAGAGATGCATGCGCGCAGGGGGCTTCTCTGGCACTTACAAAACAGACGATGTACCATCAATTGTTAGACAATTATTTAGAGTACATTCTTACTATGATACATTTAATTAAATGTTGAGTAAGACATAACCGAGAACACTTGAAAGAATTGAGAAAAACATTATACATTAATTTACTATATTTATCGATCTTCACAATCGGTTTCTCAAAAGAAATGAATAAGTTCTGGAAGTGTTATTCGACTTATTAAGTACTGTACCATGTAGCAGGAGTACATACTGTGATGGATCTTTATCAAATTCAAAATAGTTCCACAATTTGATTTCGATTTTGATGTTTCAATTTTTTTCGATCCCTAAATTCAATCATTCATGTTGTTATTTTCGAATAGCATTATATCCTTTCATGAAACTACTTGGAATGAGGCAAAAACTGAATGTGAACGTGATAATGCTATATTATTTCTACCTGAACACTTTACGACACCGTTCTTGACAAAGTCCTTAGTTTTACGTCGGCACAGTTACACATCCTCTGGTGTTGCACATCTTGGTATTTTTTATGATAATCGAAACCGTACTGCCACGCAATGTAGTACAATCGATGAAAGTCCTTTACCAAGTTTACTAGATTTCAATAATTTTCATACTTTATGTGAAAGAACATTTGATCAATATTATGAAAAATTTATATCATCATCAGCTTTATCATCAAACGATGAAGATCGAGAAAAAACTGAGCAAATTAGTTGTGCATACGTTAATTTTTCATCTAATTCTGCATCATCGATTTCATGTGATCAAAAATTCTATAATCGACTAGCAACTGTAATATGTCAAAAATCACCTATTGTAAAAATACGTGCTGTTGCAGTAAAAAATTGTTAGTTATCAATACAAATGCTTGGGTAGTATAATTAGATTTTTCCTTGCTAACGATAAAATTTGTTTAGATAAGTCGGAAATCCTCACAAAAAAGGAGAATTAGTCTGTATATCGACAGAGCATTGTGCTGCAGTATATTTTGTACGATCCTCGAGACAGTAAATATATCAGCAAGTATTAATTAATACGATCAATACTTGAATGAGATAAATTTCTTCATCGGAATCGGATACTCACCTAGAAGATACAATACATTTCTTTCCTTTTTTTGTCCATTCGATGGCTAGAATCCGGTGGGCTCAATAGCCCGTCTGATGGTGATTTTATGTCACTCTGTCTTAACTCTAATCTAGTTGAACAACTCTGATAGAGGTAAGATACAGATGTGCATGGTAAATGGTTTTTGTATTGTATAGCCTGACTGAGAGAATTTCTAGTCCTTATTATATACATGTCAATTGTAGAGAATTGTACATTGATTGTTAACTTTTCTTTCCACCGATAATCCGCAGTTCACCATGGATTTAAGCAAAATGAGCGTATGTTATTCTATTTTCTTACAAATAGTGTCATCATTATAGATTTTGATTGATAGTACCAAAAGTCTTTCTCTTGTAGTCTTCAATAACGAATTATATCGGTTGTTTTCATTTCACATTTGATGATCGTTTGTGAAAAATTTTTATACTGAAACTAAATCACAATTGAATGATAAGTTTCCAAGTAATTTGACTGTTAATAAGAAAAATCATATTTATGACAGGACGCTATTACTATATTCCTATTCATATTACAAAAAGGAAACATACCCATTACTCAACTTCATTCAAAATACTGAATTAGTGATCTTCTCGAACTTTATAATATGTCTTGTGTTTATTTATAGTGATTATACTAACTTTTCAATGAATCATAAGACAAGTCTTACATCAAATGATGAAACAAATTTTCAAAAATTTACTAAAAATACAAACAAAGCTTTCGCATTAATTATCTTGATTTGTTCAATTGTGTTTGTCGTTACACTCTCTGGACTTATATACAACTGTGATATATGTCGCAGTTGGTTAGAGAATTTAGTTGAGATTGGAATCGATATAAATACAAAAATAAAATCTATATCTATATTTCTAATTTATAGAGAAGAAAGTAGAATCGGTAAATGTGTAAGTAATTATTTCAGAAATAATAGATAAGTTATATTTTTGTCTGAAAGATAAAGTAAAAATATCACTGATTTAAGATATATTATTAACTTCAAAGAAAAGTTTATATAGAATATAAGGAGAAAGTAATATGTTGCTTATTTATCTTTGTTTGATTACATACGTATTTTTTTATAAAGGGGACATGCGGGACTTTGAATTTTATTTTGAAAAAAATGAAGTTTCTTTTTTTCTTATAACTAGATAGATTTTTTTTCTAAACGGGACATTCGGGACATTGAAATTTGTATTAGATAAAAAGAAAGAATTTCTTCTTTATTTATAAGATAGATAGATTTTTTTTTCTAAACGGGACATTCGGGACATTGAAATTTGTATTAGATAAAAAGAAAGAATTCCTTCTTTATTTATAAGATAGATAGATTTTTTTTCTAAACGGGACATGCGGGACATTGAAATTTGTATTAGATAAAAATAGAGAATTTCTTTTTTTATTATAAATAGATAAATTTTTTTCTAAGAGAGACATTGAATCTTATTTTGAAAAAAAAACGCAAGTTTCTTTTTTTCTTACAAACAGATAGATTTGTTGATCAGCGGGACATACGGGACATTGAAATTCGTATTAGATAAAAATAGAGAATTCCTTCTTTATTTATAAGATAGATAGATTTTTTTCTAAATGGGACATGCGGGACATTGAAATTTGTATTAGATAAAAATAGAGAATTTCTTTTTTATTTGTAAGATAGATAGATTTTCTTTCTAAGCGGGACATGCGGGACATTGAATTTCATTTTGAAAAAAATGAAAGTTTCTTTTTTTATTATAAATAGATAGATTTTTTTTTGATCAACGGGACATGCGGGACATTGAAATTCGTATTAGATAAAAATAGAAAATTTCTTTTATTCTTATGAATAGATAGTTTTTTTTTTCTAAGCGGGACATGCGGGACATTGAAATTTGTATTAGATAAAAATAGAGAATTTCTTTTTTTCCTATGAAATAGATAGATTTTTTTTCTAAGCTGGACATGCGGGGCATGAAATTTTTTGTTTTAGTCATACTATTCCAAAAAGGTGTTATTCTCTCGACCAGAATGGCCGACGGTCATGTGACAATTATTAATTTTCTCATACATGTTTTCTTGTGTTATCAATGGCAAATTAGAGTTTTTATTACATATTAAATTGGTTGATCCGATTTTCATTAAACAAAATGTATGTCGAACTCAGAATTTAAATTTTGAAGACACATCTACATCTTCAGAGTTTAAAACTTTCATCATTTTGTAATACATGTCATTGTTAATCGTATATTTTTCTCTTCTTTTTTCATCAAGATTATTGATGTATGACTTTAATTTCGAAATAAATATTTCCATGAAATTTAAATTTGATAATTTAAAATGAAACAACACATGAAATAACTTAATTAAAAAAGTTATCATAGCGATATCACTAAATCTTCGTTTCGTAGGAAAGAATCTCTACTAAGAAAACATAAAAGGGACAAATGATGGTGACACATAGATTTCATGCATAAAAATATTTTCGAATACAAGCTTTTATAAATTGTTTATTTATTAATATCAATCTAATACAATTTTTATAAACATCATCTATATATAACTTTACAAATACAAAAAAAAAATGAAATAGTCTTTTGTAAAAAGAAAATAGTATGAATATCATAATTTTTATAAAAAGGCATTCATAATATTCTAATAATATTCAATTTGAATCAAATAGATTTATTGATGAAGAAAACGATTTTATTTCTATTCTCTCTTTTTTTTTCTATTTTCAAATCTCTATTTAGGCTTAATTTTATTTTCTCTTTTTTTTCTATATTTTTTTTTCGCGCATTCCAAACTCAACTAAATTCCCATGTCAACTGTGACATATATAAATTATGCAAGCATTATTTAATGCAAAAGAATAATAATAAACTTCAAACAGATACAGTTAACAATGAATATATTCATTCTGAGCTATTAATCGGAGATGCATTAGATTCAAATTAGAATCATCTTTATTTTTGATTTATTATATCGCTATTTCTCCATTAATTTTCTTTTCATTGAATTTATGAACACACCAAAAATTACTTCATTATTTCTTTTATACTTGACATGTCATTTTGTTCGATATCAATAATAAACTAGACTGACAAATAACTTACAGAAAACAATCAATATTGATAATGGCAAAGAGAAAAAGAAAAATTAGCGCATTTATTACAAAAGCTTGTTAGTGTAACTCCATTGGGGCTGAAATGTGGATCTGACATGCTTTCTTTAGCTTCATTGTGTTAATACAAAATATACAAAGCGTGAAAACTCTAAAAGACGATAGTTCTTGTGGGTGTAGATTTGGGTAGGCCAACACCCCACACCCACACCCTTCGAATGGAGTAGTGTCATGAAAACATTGAATTGACGGTGTTTAAGTCAGAAAGGATAGTAAAGAAGCAGAGACGAAAAGATTTTTAGTTAGATATATGAGTGTCTCGAAGGTATTTAATAAACGAATGAAGTGCTACTGCGATGAAACATTTACTTTTATATTTGCATTTTATGTAAATCTTCTCTGTGTTTATGTTCATCGTCATAAACTTGTATTAATTTTTGCTCAATTTTATCCGGTTATCTATTCGGAATTTGTAAAGGTAACAAAGTAAACATGAAATATAAAAAGAGACACTTAGATTTGTGATAGACTAGCCGATAAAAAAGTGTCTTGTCAGCTTCTGATTCGAGAAATGACAGTGTAAAAATGAAGAGAGAAATAAAGAAAGATAAAATAGTAGATTGTAATAATTATTATGATGCTTGATCATCTTTTGTGCATTCAAAATCCTAAAAAAGGTAGATTCCATCGATCGATATATCGATTGAAATAAATAAAACTTGCAATCGAAAATCTTGATGTGAGCAAGGTCAATAATGCTGCGAAGGCGATCTCTAAATATTGAGAAAGGTTATCACAGGTATTCAAATGCTCACGATAATCGTTTGTTAGCCAACCTTTAAATACGTATGGGTATGAGTGTGGGTTTGAATCTTTTCTTTGTCCAGATTTACACGCATCCTTCTTTCATTTATTTTCACAAGTTGAAAAATAATTAATCGATTTTTATTATATTTATAAAAACAATAAAGATATAATGTTCAAAACATTTTTTCTTTTCTATTGTTATATAAATCTTTTAATCTATAGTAATAATAAATTCAATATCTTTTACAGCTATAATATTTGTTGGATCATTGGTGTATCCAAAAATAAATTTTAGATCAATATAATCAGTTTCATCAATTGAAGCTTTACAATATGACCAATAACAAAAATCCAATGAACTCGAAGAAGTTCTATTGCAGGAAGATGATATTACTAAAATAAATGAATAACAAAATTCAAATATCTGACAAAGATGCTTCTCAAAATCTATAAATAATTCAAAGCTTAAAAAACTCTAAGAATTTGAGGCTATACTAAACTGTGTCGTCAAAAGGAGCCGAGAGCATCGTAAAGAAAAAGTTATTTTCGCTTTGTGGAAACTATTCAACTCGCATTCTCATCCAGATGTTTGAATCTTTTTTCAAACTTGAGTAGATACGTGAAGTGAGCATCAAAATGATGTATCCACTCCTTATTAAAAAGAATTATTGAAAACTTATCCAAAAGTGTAAAAAAAATGTTTTATTTTTGTCGTCTGGTTTTTGTGTACTATCCACTGATCGATCTCAACTCAATTCGCGTATAATATAGCAAAATATATCGGTAAATTAGATTGTAGATTTTATTATATATTAAAAACTGAAAGCAACATACTTTGATTAATATTATTTACATCAATAATGACTCGTTTTTGATTCAATTGAATTATTTGAATCATTAAATTTTCTTGTCCATGAACGAGAAAAGATAAACAATAGATAAATGATGGATAAGAACTATAAAGTTTTGCATCTGTTATATTTATACGTTGAATCATAGTTGAATTATTTTTACCCATAAAATAAGAATCTTTGACTTCAATTATTCCTGATGTAATATTCCATTGATTTAAACCTTGTTTACTATCTCCATTTTTAATAAATGTTTTATTTCGAGCATAAGTACCATTAGGTAAAATTGTATTATAAACAAATAAAGCTTGACTTATTTGTTCATTAGTTATAGTTGATTGACTTAAATTTGCTCGAATTAATTGAATATTTTCTACAGATGCTCCTGTAAAATCAGATTTTTGTAATTCTACATTGACAAATTTAACTCGAGATAATTTTGTATTAGAAAAATTAACTCCAATTAATTTTGAATTAGAAAAATCGGATGCATCTAAATTTGAATTAGAAAAATCGGATGCATCTAAATTTGAATTAGAAAATGTAGCATTTACTAATGAAACACTTCGTAACATAATTGTCGATAAATTTAAAATACCACTAAAATTGACTTGATCTAAAACTACACCTTCTAAATTTATATGGTTCTCATTTGCGTGAGGTGTATCAAATATATTTGTATTACGTTGTAAAATAGTAGTATCATACAAAAATTGTATAACTAATCGTTTCCTGTCTAAATCAAGTTGTCGTAAAATAGTAGATGTTAATGCACGTGTTACTATATATTGTTGTGCTCCAAATCGAACTGGACTATATAGAATAATATCACCAATATTTTTAACATAATTACTAAAGACAGTTTCATTTGCTAGATAACGAGCTTGTTGTTCATCACTATCACGTTGTAATTGACTGATGTTTAAATCATTTTCTCGATTTTTTCTGCCTATATCCATGTCATTTTTCTGTATAAAAATAGCTACAATAGCAATTACTGCCGGTATAAGAAATGCAAATAGCATTTCTAGTCCATTTTTGAAACTAAAATCATTGAAACCATGCCATGGTTCATGTTTTGAAGGTTCATTTGGTATAGTTTGAACATATTTATCAGATTGATCAATTACTTGTTTCGTATGCATTTTGATGTATACGTTACAATTATATATCTATCAGTGAAAAATAATATTTTTAAAAAAAAATATCCTTAATTAGTATAAGCAAATCAACTCGATAGGATCTCATAGACATAGATTGTTTAGTACTGTTATATATCTATTTATTTTAATAATTTTTTCATTAAATATACATTTTTAATAAGAAATAAGTCATTCGATAAAAACTGTTCTCAGTTTCATTTATTCATGGAAGAAAAAAGTTAGAAATATATTTTATAAATCGAACTGAAGTTAAATACGATATAACAGAATTTGGTCAATTAAAATCCATATTAAAAGATGCAATATTTTATTTTTCAAATTTTTCTTGAGATAATTTGTGTCTATATAAAATTCAAATACAAATTAACATTTCAGATCAAATTTAAGATATGAAAAGTTGGAGTTACATATAATAACATCCTACAATTCAGCCGACTCAGCTGATCGATTTTGTAAATTGAAAGTCTAGAGATCAATACTCTATGTATCGATTTCTCTTTTGTTATCTTTAAAAAGTTCTGCGAAGATCTGGTCAAGAAATCTGATTCTATCTAGGAGGAAACCTAGTAAGATTCTACAAGACATAATCAGAATTTTTTTCAATTAAGAATCATTGAAATCCTAGTAGGATTCGGATCTAAAAATAATGGAAAGTTGTTGAGAATCCTTATAAAATCCTGACAACATTATGACACTTCGCATGACTACACGCTTTTTTCAGAGTTTTAATTTCGTCAGAAAAAAATGACTGAATCTATTCCCGATTCTGATCGAATCTGTCAAGGATCTGGTATGAAAATATCAAAGTTTTTCCCGGGGGAATACTTTTATGGTAACCATAATTGATCTATGTTTTTGCATTTACGTACTTTACAAAATAAAATATCAAAGTAATAAAATAATATGAAACAGTAAAAGCTCGAATAGTGTTAAAATTATAGAAGAAAAGTAATGATCATGTAATAGTCGCCCACACTAGATTGAAATTTGCATATAAGCTACTTGATAAGATCCTTCCAGTAAAGATAAAAATTATGATTAAGATTGTTGTTATTTTCATTTAGTTAATATTGATCGATATTACAAACTTATATTATCTTTAATCCCTAGTAAATAAGTATGTCTATTTTGTAAAGATTAAAGAATAAAAATGTTTTGACCTTTTCAAATCCAATAATTACTTGATATTTTGATATATTTCTCAATAAAACAATTCTAAGACACAATACTTATAGATATTGAAAAGACACATATATAAATTGAAATCTTTGGTCTTATATGATGTTCTAACACTATCGATCATAACAACGAAAAGACAAAGATAATTCAAGAAAAGCTTCGAGAATCAACTTATCATTTAGAATTATATAACAACAAACAAGATTGTATTACATAAATTGAAAACATTAAAACAGAAAAAGTAGTTTTTTTATTGATTTAATCAATGAATTGGAAGAAATTTCAACACAGATTCTTGATAATAAACGTCGAAATTGTGATGAGGAACAACGCTTTAAGTTTTTATAAAATTTTATCTACCAATCAATTTCCAAAGTAGAAATATTTTTAATGAGATTAAGATCAATAGATTCTTGAAATTATTCTGATTGTCGTTCGTTTAATAGATGGTTGGGATTTTCGAAAGTTAATTCAAATGGTAGTGTCTATTCAATGCATTAGAGGTTATAACCAAGTTTTTTTTCATTACTCTTCAATGTTGCCTGAATAGCTCGGTTTGAACCAAAGAGAAAGACAAATGAAATAAAATCGAACAGTAATCTGATAATGTGACTGATGATCTTTATCGATATATTTCAGAATCAAAATCTAAATAGAAAACAAATAAATAAATGCACATACAGCGTATTTTAGTCGAAAAATGATTTTGTTCAAAGCACTCGAGAATCTCCCTGTTATTATTAGATATAATCGTACATTTCAATTTGAAAAAGAGATAATGCAATCACAGAAATTACTTCAGTCTATAGAACCATCGAATCAACTCATCGAAAATTTTACTTCTGATAAAATTCTTTTGAACTATGTGATTTCATTTTCGAGTATTGTATGAGTACCGATTGAGAAAACAGTGGAGAAGTAAAAACAAAAAATCATCCGATAATAACGAAATGCATTTCTTTCTCCATATTAGAACAAGATACTATTCTTTTATTCCGTCGCAAAAAAGAAACACGAAGAAATTCTCGAAGTTGTTCATCATCTTCGCGCTTTTACGACCTTAACTGTGGCTTCGATACTTCTGCTCATCCATATTCAAGACTGTCATCTCGATTTTTCAGCCATATCCAAACGTGATGTCAATATGGTGTGAAACCAACATCTACCATTCGTCACATCAGTATGACGATGTCCTTAGCACCGGGCGGCTATTATTTATTTTTATCTTTTTTTTCGTACTACCTAAGTGCATCAATCCGATATCGAATCCGATGGGGATTTCGGGAGATGAAATTACTAACGAATCCGACAGTCGGATTGCTTCGGAACTCGTGTCAATGAGAAGTTATGCTTCCGTCAAATTGTGTGAGGAAATGTCGGACTGGTTTCTGATTGAATAAGAGACAGCCAATCAGATTTCAGCAAGACTTTTCTCTTATTTGATAAGTAATAAATGTGTTCATCTGCTTGAGTATTATATATTTTAGTTTGTTTGTGCCTAACTTCACAAACACAAAGTTACGCTTCCATCTGTTGTGTCCGATAATACTGATGATGTGTGTACATGTTTGATTATGTTTTCTTTGATCACATTCCTCCCTTTAATTTCATTCTCCTTTCTTTACATACGAAAAACTGATATTTATATCAGATGTTAGAATAAAGGTGGAATTTATCAAAGTAGATAATATATTAGGATTGGAAAAATACATGAAGTATCATATCGAAACAACAAAGGAAGTCAAGGAGCATAACAAGAGAACATATTGGTATATTAGAACTGCAAGTTTTCGACGTCGGAAAACAGACTAGCTATTTGGGATGTAGTGGAGCGTAGGTGTGCGGGTGCAGAGTGTGAGTTTGTTTATGCTCTTCACCCACACACATACACTCACGCACACTCTCAAGAGTGTGCCAGTCATATTGGAAGTAAAAGTTGTAACAATGAAAATTTACATTGTTCACGATTGCAAAAAAACTGTGAAATTGAGTTACTCATCCCCGCCGCTATTATCATCATCCAAGAGTGAATTCAGAGAAGAATTAGACAGCTCGAAAGTGTTATTGTAGATATAACTATATGTATTAATGTTACTTTCAGTATAGAAAGTATAATTCCAATGCACAACAACGCGAACTTCATACGCTTCAAAGTAATGGTTAGAGATTGAACGATTGGTACGACCTATATTTCGAACTGCTATGAGTCCACATCAATGCATACTTTGACTTGACGAATTTTTGTACAAATATTCAAAAAAAGAATGAAATTAATCATTATTATGTAGCCAAACACATATATTAAAATGATTTTAAATCTTAACACAGATCTAGCGAAAGCATTACCTATATATACTTTCTAATGGATTATACATGTGAAAGATAGATAGGACCAACAAGATCCAAATTAGATGAACATAATCTCGAGCCAAATGTCACACTATAGTATTCATATGAGCAACTTGAGGATTTACATGGAGATGGAAAATACATTGTATATCATTAAATACTTACTAGACTCATCGCGAAATATCTCTTCAAGGCTAAATACGCATAGAAAAACAAGAACAGTCGACAGAATCATGATTAAGATATAGCACTGACGTCGAAAAGTTTGATTTTTGTTTAATAGAACATACTCATCAAATATCGAAGATAGTAAATCTTTGCACACAGCATCAAAGAGATAAACTAACTTGACACGTTTAGTTATATCTCAAACAAAAAAATTAAAAAATAACCATTACTTTGTTTCGAAATCGAATCGACGTACCATAGCGAGCTATGATATAACATTCAAATCCTGTGAGCAACAGAGTGGTGCTTTTTACATTGACAACTTTAACTAAGATTTGAACATACAACCAGTCGATCACAAACCGAATATAGCTTGAACTTGTTTCTATGTTCATTAATCGCATCATCAGCTCATATAACATTACTTGTTACAACTTTGTGAAAAGAGCTGTTAATTTATTTTATTTTTCTTCACGAAATAAATATAAAAAATATATTTATCGAGAAAAAAAAATCAAGATAAATATATCTTTGATATTTATAAAACAAATTGAAATAAAGAAATAAAAAGTTTTAATATTTAAAAAAATATATCCCTCTGTAATACATAAATTTATAAATATGTAGTATAAAAGCATCAAGTAACTTTTTCATTTAAAAACACTCCTTTTTTTATTTAACTTTCGTCATATTTTAACTAATAAAATTTATGATTGGATTTATCTTTATTGCACCAAAATAGAAGTTTTATTTCCATGTATTCTTTGTTATAAATAACAATAAAGATAAACCAACAAGTCTATTTGAAAAAGTGCTTGTAAAATTCAGATAAAATGAAATAGTTGAACATAAAAAAGCAACATACTGGTAGAATTTATTCGTTTGCCTAGGTAAGAGATGATGATATTTATAACAAAAGATTTAAGATCATAATCTACCGCATGCTCATCCTAAAGCTTTTTAAAAGTAAGGTAAAACGAGGCATACAATTTTGTTAACAGTTTAACATATATAATGAATCTATTAAATCAAACTCAATTTGATTAAATTGTAATGATCGCACTAACTAAAGTAACTATATAGCTATATATTCAACGGCGTTTCGACGAATTCGATGCATCGACAAAAGCATCATTTGAAACGAGTTTTATCGACTCTATCGACTAGATAGCGTTCACTAGAAGAGAGACAGCTTTTAATTATTAAATATAATTAGAGATACAAAATGACATGAATGCATCTTAACGCATTTCAGAATAAAAGTTAAAATGCGTTTACATGCGTTTAGTCTAAAAACATATTCCGAAACTATAAATGTTCTCGAAACGTATTCAAGAAATACAGTGATCGGTGCATCTAGATGCGTTTCCGTCATGGTTCGATACGAAAATGCATCAGAAAAGCGTAGATTTGCAACAAAAACACATCTAGCTGCATCTTAATCTTCGACGATTCGATCGTTCATACGAGGATAATGATTCTCTAACTGACTGTTTTATTAAATGTAATGTTTTTTTTCTTCTATTATTCACTTTGAAAATGTATTTTAGATAATGTTGAGTAGTGTTTTATGTTGATAGTGAGAAGGATGAATTCATTGAAACAAGAAGAAGTCAACGATGGTGGTAGGCGAGTACCATTACTCGATAATGATGATGGCAATGACAACAATACTTATCAAACTCAATCGTCTTCAGGGTCATATTGTATCACCACTCGATATGTATGTCTCTCTTTTTTCTTTCCATTGTAGTAATATTTGACTATTGTCTAGGTCGTGGCTGTTTGGGTCTTTTTCGGCTTTTTTTGTTTGTATTCACTTCGAATTAATTTGTCTGTCGGCATTGGTATATGTCAATGATCCTCTGTTTGGTGCTGATCTTTCTCTCTCACGCTCTCTTTATATTTTTTTAGTGGCCATGACATTACCGCAAAGTGTTACAAATGAATCAATTCAAGCGTGTCCATTCACTGATAATAATAATAGTAATAATAATAATAGTTCATCACAAATGATATCTATCGAAGTAAGAAGAATATCAACTAATTTTATATTTAATATCCGATTCAAAAAGGGCAAATTGGATTGGTCACCAAAAACACAAGGTTACGTTTTGAGCTCGTTCTTCTATGGTTATCTACTCACACAAATCATAGGAGGTAAGTCTTTTTTATTCTTCTTCTGTGTATCATATTGTGTCTTCTCTCAAATTAAAAGGTAATCTCGCCGAACAATTTGGTGCCAAATGGATATTTGGTGGTAGTATTCTAGGTGCTGGCATTCTAACATTACTAATACCACTTGCTGCTCGAATTCATGCTGGTGTACTTATTGCTATTCAAATATTGAATGGCGCATTTCAAGTAAGTTGAAAGACGAGTCATACATTGTTTAATAAAATATCTTTTGTTTTTCTTAGGGTCCAGCTTTTCCAAGTATCGCTGCATTGTGGGGCCGATGGATTCCTCCATTCGAACGAAGTATTGTCCCACCCGCAGCTTCTGCAGGTTAACTGAGAGTTTAATGTGAAATTTTTGAATATATCTTTCTAATATACGTTTTTTTTGTCTCTTCTCATTGCTCCTGTCCAGGCAAAGAATTCGGTGTTGCGATTATAACTCCATTAGTTAGTCTACTCTGTGCGTCAACATTTTTAGGTGGATGGCCATCGGCTTTTTATGTCACCGGTGAGTCGATTATTCTCTCTTATCGTTCTTGTTTTCTATCGAATGAAAAACTACAAAGGTCTATTTGCGTGTGTCTGGTTCATTGGATGGTGTTTTTTTGCGTACAATTCACCTTCAGAACATCCTCGTATAGCATTCGAGGAAAAAACATTTCTTCTTCAATGTGTACCAAAGCCAAAAAAGGTATATGCAAAAAAATGAAGCAGAACAATAAAAGAAAAGTTCATTTCGATCTCGTATTAGATTCGTACACCTTGGTTTCATATTGCTACTTGTATACCACTTTATGGAATTGCAATCAATCATATTTGCTACAATTTTGTCTATTATATATTGCTTACTTCACTGCCGACATATTTCTCGACAATTCTACGATTCGATTTGCGACGGGTCAGTTCATATGTCTGTTTTACAATGGAGCTGCTGTATCGAAATTATGACCGATATCGTTTTCAAAATAGACCAGATATTGGCATTTTTTGAATAACATTTAAGAGAAACAAGAGAAAACGCTGCTGTTTGAATATTTGAAAAAGTTCATCAGGAAACGCCAATCTATATACAAATTTATAGTTTAAGTAGTTATTATTTGTTGACGGACATTTCGAAAACAATGTTCTACAGAATTTTCTCGCTAGATTTGAAATTCAAAGGTGGTCATCTGATAGAGAAAACTACGCTTTTTTAATCTAGGTAACATCGTATTCCGAAGTTATGAGCATTGTTCTCTCGAGAGTCTCAAAATCGGCCTTGATGACTTTTTACTACTCAAAAATCCATTGAGAAAGTCATTTTTGATCATGTTGAGTCGACTTGCAATGTTTGTGTTTATTTCCTAAGCGATCTACAGAGTTATCGGATCAAGATTTAAAAAATTTCCGTTGTGCACACTTCATGATGACAGAAGGTAAGTTGTCTAAATCTTGATCTACTGATTCTAGATCGCTTGAAAAACGAAAACAAACATTGGCAGTCGACTCAGCACGGTCGAAAACCTCTTTCAACTTATTTTGGAGTGATCAAAAGGACACCACTTGAACCATGGATTCTAGTCTTGATCCAGTTCGTTTAAATGGTAAAAATTGTAGTTCTCTCTTATTCCTATCAAGATTTATTCAAAAAATTTTAGTGTGCGTTCTATTCTGAAAACGATATCAGGTTTAATTTCGATACGACATATTCATCATTGTTTGCAATTTATGTTAGAATGGATTAGTATCTGCTATTCCCTTTATGTTTCACCTCTTGTTTGCTATTGTCTCGGGTCAAATAGCTGACCGAGTACGAAGAAAAAGAATCCTATCGACAACAGTCACAAGAAAATTACAAACTATCATCGGTATGTATATATTTATGACTGTTTGTTTTAAATTTTCACTTGTTTCTCTAGGCGCTTGTGGAACATCTGTGTTTCTTGTCCTAGTCGGTTATATCGGATGTAATCATACATTGGCCGTTGTCTCTATTATTCTTGCCATTGCATTCATGGGTTTTCAAAATTCTGGTAGTATCATTTCATATTTGGATATTGCAAATAATTATGCAGGTTTAAGGAAAGATTTTCATCTCTTTTTGTAAAAACTAATTTCGTTTCTCTAGGTACACTCTGCGGAATTACCAATACATTGGCTACGATTCCAGGCTTTGTGGGACCAACGTTTGTCGGTTGGATAACAAATAAGAATGTCAGTTCGAAATTTCGTCTATTTGCTTTTATTCTCTGTTCATTCAGCAAACAATTAAAGCATGGCGTATCATCTTCAATGTCTCATCCGGTATAGGTCTTGTTGGATGTCTTGTATATTGTCTTCTCTTCAATGGCGAAGAACAAGAGTGGAATCGACTCAACCAGACACAAGCTACCAAAAGCGCGCATAAACGCACCAAAAAGCAAATTTCGGCTGCTTAAATGCATGTCCGAGAATCTGATCGTGAATTTATCTTAAAACTCTCAACTTGAAGTATGGATACACACAAATGTTATATTTCCATTTTTCAATCCCCATGAATGTGCAGAATCTGCAGTTTTGTGAACGTTTTCCCACCCATTTTTCCTGCACCCACATAAATGCTCAATAAATTTAATTTGTACGGTTCCAGAAGAAGCTTTTTGTGGAGTTATTGCGAAAAATATGATTAACCATATTCAGGTTTTCAAAGCGGTCTTTTTCATCTTTTTTTGAGCTACATGTTCTGTCTGTATTTCAAATGCAAATTCTATAGTATTTTCACCACGAAAAAGAGAGAATAATTGCCGGGTGTGAATGTGAGATGTCGGTGTAGCTATGATGCACACCCAATCAAACAAGGTGATCTATCTCGTTAATAATCAACATACAATGAAAGTTCGATCTTTTGATTCGTTGGATGTGGAATGTTGTATTTCTGAATATTATTTTCTGCATTTTTTATTCATGTTTAATAAATTCTTAGCTGATTTTTCGCTTTTTAAGTAGCAAACACAATTCGAGATAAAGCGGTTTTAAAAAAACTATTAACTATTATCTTGACTTTTTTTTTTCTATGATTAGCATGCTAAAAATATTACTTCATCATTTTCCCATGTAAACATGTTTGAGACAACCAATGTGAGTCAAAGTCAGTAGCCTAGTCAGGTATACAGTACGTATGTTAGGTCAAAGTTTTCGATCTGAAGTATATTTAATGCGTGTATACTGAAGATAAAAATTAAAATGAACTTTGTCATTTATTCAAGCGAACTTGACACGTTCATTGAATATCAGCGACAAGCGTTGAAAAATAACGTCAGTTGAGAACTATGAGGCTACTATAGTTAATGGGTATTGATACTCAAAAATTAGACGATCTACTATTCATTGATGCTATTAAACAGATGATCAGTAAGAATCAAAAATTTCGATTATAATGAATTTTCATTAGTACGAGTCCTTTCCTTTAATATATGTTTCTTTTCTCTCGTTAATCCTCTACTATCTAGTTCTTAGATAACATCTTTATAAATAACAAAATCGTGAGAATCAAATAGTACTTTCCAATATGAACTTTTTATTAAAGATGGTCCTGTTTGACGATAATTGCTTGAAAATGACATTTTATTTTCACCGTTTTAAGAGGAAACTGAAAAAGATCGAAAGAAACCGATTACATATTTTATGAAACTATTCCTGTTTCAAAAGATTATGGATCTGGTTCATCAGCCTTAGCGTTTGTAGCCACGATAGATTACCGGATGATAGTCCGATTTTTTGATCGGACCTGGTGACCAAATATAACTACACCCTGTTCAATTCAGTTGTTTATATGTAGCTTTATGTGCAAAACAAAACGATGAATGAATAGCTAGCAGACAGACTATGGTGTATTCATAATGCGACACATTCTAATTGTGAAACAATAACTAGAGACACACGAGTCCAACACATTTTATTTTGATACGTAGTGTTAAGCGAGTAAAAAAGAGGATGAATCTAGACCAATAATTTTTATTGATGAATAGGACATTACAAAGAAATTATTTAGGTAAGTGATTGACTGTATTCTAATATCATGATTGTTTGGTCGGCATCGTATAAAATTGCTTTGTACCTTCAATTGGTTTGTCCCAAGACGGTCTTTCTCTACAATACAATTCCATAGATGGCTTAGGAATTTCGTCAAACAATCCCAATTTCAAGATCTTGACACCAGGCATAGTGGGCGAAGCAGTATAAATTGGGCTACCACAATTGCCACAAAAAGCTCGTTGAATCGACGTTCCGCTATCTGTATTATTATCTAGATATATTTTTGGCTGTCCGGTGATATTAAAAGCTGATTCAGGAACAATGATACCGGTTGATGCGAGAGAGCCACCAGATTGACGACAATTCTTGCAACGGCATATATAAGTCTTGTCGGTTGCATCTAGTGCTTCTTTCGTAATAGTAACAATGATCTGGCCACACAAACATGAGCCAGTGATAAAGTTCATTTTCGCCGACACTTGGTTTTTTTTATTAAAGTATACGAAACCACTTGTGCTTCTTTTTCTTCTAAAGTGTGTGCAAAAATTAGATATCAAAATATGGGCACTAATAGTAGGGACGAAGAGGTAGATGTCCCTCACTCACTGACTCTGCCGTTCTGTTGTCATTACGAATGAAAACGTAAAAACCAGTAAGTAACGATTTATGATGCAAGTGCACGATTTCGAGTCATAAATTGTCTCGCACGGGTCTTTGCTTTCTCATTCCCAGTGGAAAAAGAATGACAAAGCCAGTGAACGAATGAGCGATAGTTACCTCTTCCTTCCTTTATATTAAACATGATAAAAGTGTGGGTGTGGATGTGCGTTTGTATAAACAAATCAAAAGCTAATATGGTGCATTTCAACCTTGCTAAGAAGATGTTATCAAATGCTTTTTTGTATGATTAAGAGACATTTCTTTTTCTATTACTATGTTTGTCGAAGTATATAGACTCGAAGATGTGAGTGTGGGTGTACAGATAGAACAAAGATCGCTCTACAAGAAACAGCGTTCGTTTCTCTTTCGTCAGAACATCATCAGGGGGATTCTCAAAAGATATTATATCAATAACTCATTTGTAGAAGATGATGTAATACATTTGACTTATTCTAATACAATAATCTTTTTCTGACAATGGCACATGTCATTTTGAAACAATAGAACTATAAATAAGGTCGCACTCATCCTATAGATTCGCTGGCACTTTTCCGAAAGAAAACATCGCACATATCTCGAAAGTCTTCGTATAAATACATTTTCAATTTCATTTAACACATCAGATATTTGTAGGAATAAATTTATAACTTATAAGTACGAACATTGTTTGATAATGTGGGTGTGGATTTTCTCTTCTCAAACAGTCCCACTATACCTACATACACCCGATTAGTATCACGTCTTGAGTTATTAATTATTGAGTCTCGAAACAGAGAAATTCTAATACTTACACTCTACATCCACACCCTTATTAATGTTCTGATGAGGATCATTGTTAGATTATGTGCGAGCTTATTTCAAATAATAACAAAAACAGTGACTAGGAATAACAAGAGAACTATATAGAGAATAAAAACAACAATCAAGAGAAAAAATACAAACAAAAAACAAAACTATATCAGTCGATGTGTATCTGTATATCCATTGATTAAACCAATAGAAAAGGATAATGGAGAATATTAGAAAAAGATACTGTGAAAATGGTTGGGACGATAGATGCCGTTCTATAACAGTCGTACGCAAAGACCGAAAGTTTAACATAGTGACCAAATCTTTATATTAATCATATATTCTTTCATTACATGAAAGAATAAAAAAAATAGAAATCAATTGTTGATTTAAACTATTATATATTATTGCTAAACAAACATTTATGATTGATTATTGAAATCCATGTTTATTGTCACATCTAGAAACCTATGTTTATTAGCTTTTGATACATGTAGAAGTTATTTATGTGACAACATGTTAGGTATTAATTTCATAAAGTGTTTCATTTATAACAACATCAAAATTCCAACTTTCAATCGTTAACTATTTAATCAAATGATGCAAAAGTTTTAGCGAAATGTAGAACCTTTACACTAATGTATTCCCATAGATACAAAGTGATATGGTGTGGGTCTCGGTGTAGATGAAGAAGCATGTGGTGAATACACACACCGATATGCACATCCACCCACATGCACATCTTAAATAGGCGGTTTTGTTCTGCTTTCGATGCTCTATCTTTTGATATATTACACAAAAAATTTTTCTTAATAATTTGTCATCTAAAGGCTCACCTTTTCATAGATGATTTTTGATGATATTTTTCAAATATTCTCGTTAGTGCTCAAAAGTCGAATCGGACCAACTTTTCACCAGCTGAACCAAATGCGCTAAAAATTTGGATTTAGAGGTTTTCGATGATGCCGATTAAAACGAGAATATCAAATCTGAAAACTAAATTTTGGTCGGTGCTGCAGTTCCTCAGTCTCCTTATCGATGGTCTCTTAAAAGCTGGCACAATCAAAAGTACATTACCTCATAAAATAACTCGCTCATTTCAACCACATGTCGATGATTTCCCCGAACTTATTCATCCACAAGTGGATGGCCACCGGACTTAGCAAACCATAATAATGGATGTAAAACATGCAACTCTTGAAAAAGAAGTAAGCGAACTAGTGGTAGCAGTTTAAGTTTTGTTGGATACAATGATCCGAATAGAGAAAACCCTTTATGAAATGAATAAGCGTATCGAACAACAAGATATTTGCATTATGCATCACAGTAATAGTATAACAGCGGTTATAAATACGCTACTGCCTGTTTCTAGATGGATACAGGCTAAAAACTTCGAAAGAACCAAAATAAAAAAGAACATTACAAAGGCGATTGATGTCCTTCAAATAGTGGAACAAAAACTTTATCAAGACAAAAACAACGTTTCCATTCTACCCCACCATTCAACCAACACAATCAATAACATCAACATCTTCAATGAAGAAATAGAAGTTAACAAAAGTCATTCAACAAACTCTCCTGGCCATGATGCCTGACTCTTCTTCATCTCTTAATGTTAATACACCTCCTTCTTCGTCTTCCTTCGTCTACTCCTCCTCTTTCCCTACAACAACATCACTACAAATAGCGTTAGAAAGACTTAGATGCTGGAATTTTTCTATAAAGATTCAAAAACAGATTATTTATGTACCCAATACTTTTCACTGAACGTCCTCATGTATAATGTACAGGAATGGAATACTCGAGTACTTGAAGCAGTGGACTGAATTTTTGAAGTAGATAGTTCAGTGTGTGTTTTTACGGAAGTAGGTGAATTATGGAATCGTTTTAAACTTGTTCATTTTTCATTTTTTCATCAAAAGGGTACAAATCATAGTGATGAAGTAATGATAGCAATAGGAAAACGCCTAAGATCTACAAGAATTGATATGGACTTACAAAACACCATAATAATCGATGTTGTTGGCCTTACCGAACAGGTTAGAATAATAGGTGGCTATTGGCCACATGGTCAAGTTCGCAACCTAAATGATTTACGTGCCTTTCTGATAAGAGATATCATTCTGACTGGCGACTTTTATATGACGGTTGAAGAATGGACAAGCAAATAAAATGATAGACGCGGTACCCTCCTGAAAAAATGGGTTGAGGAAAATAGCATTATCTATGTACCTACTTCTTCACATTCGCCCAAAAGGTCTGATAGGCATATAGATTTAACATTCACCAACTTGAGCGAGGTTCAGAACAAAAGTGTATTTTATGGTACAAATGATCCACTGGCCAACAGTGTTAACAGCATACAGTGTAGGATTTATAACTTAGTGGCTTTTTTCCATATATCAATTGAATCGTTTACCAGACTATTCCAGTATTTCTAGAAGAATATTTGGTAAAGAAGCAGAAGATGCACTCTCACGATCAATGGTACCAACGTTATATACGATTTCTTGCAGCTTTGAAATGCCGACTAACACAATAGAAAGAAAAAGAAAAATATCGGCCTTCTCTCCCCCACTCACCGTGGATACAAGACATCGATTTGAATGAATGAATGAGTTTAGTTCATCAATTAAAATAACATCTGAGAACGCTTTACGCAGCATACGAATGTGCAATGAACGAATATTTAGAAAATTCAAGAAGTCGAATTGAGACATGCGATATTGACTTGAACAAGTGAAACCATGAGCAATGTCACGAATGATTCAACAAAGACAAGAGCCAGATCAAAATGAACCTTTGTCGGTGTAGACGTATGGGTATAGGTGTAGATCTTTTCTGCTCCAACACTTACATCCACATCCCGCACCCTCACACTCACTCACACCCACATCCATATCCACACACCAACCTTTCTTTCTGTTCTCATCTATCTATCTATCTTGAGATGAAGGAAAGAAAGTCTTTCGTTATGCATAATTTCACATGTTAATCTACACGTGGTTGTTTCTCTATCTCATATTCTCTTACCTTTTTTTTGTAAGTGTTGACGAGGACCCGAATATGGAAAATGAAAACATCAAAATCACAGTGTCAGTCGAGAGCGTACCTTGATTCAATTAAAGATCATAGTGAAAAGTTCGAAACAAAAACTAACATGTATGGTTGCTGAAGATGTTACTTATAAGGGCACAGCGCATTTTATTACAGTAGAAATAAAACGGAAATAATACAAGCCTTATTCACTAGTGTGCAAATGATTCACGGCGACGTCTTGGACAACAGCAGAGTTTCAAGATCAGCAAGAAAATCCTTCGAAATCTCTTCTCCTTTTGCTGCACGCTCCTCAAATATCTTTTGGTTGGCTGCTAACCATTCGGCTTCCTTTCCCGCCGCAGGAAACATGATGCCATCTTCGGCAACATTCTCCACTTCCTTCTCATCGAAACCAATGAGATGGCAGCGCTCACCGACAATTGCAATCCATGCATCATTAATCTGTTTGATCATAGACTCTTTTGTTGCTGCTGACCGACCAGCTCGAATGATGCCCATGATGCGTGCCTTGTGACGGAGCTTGTTGTTGATAAATTCGACCTATTTTGTTTAAAGCACAATGATATAGAAATATGACCCCTCTAAAGCCTTACATTATCGTCAGTTGTGCGAAATATGACGTTGACAAAGCTGGGAATAGCTTCGGTCATGGTGCAATGAATGCGTGTGATTTCCTTACAAAGTTGCTCCTTTTGCTGCATATTAAGCAGCTTCGATGGGTGCTCGACAATATACAGAGGCATTTTGAAATGATACAAAACTAATGATGAGTAGCTTCGCGAATATAACTGACTGCCTGATAAGATCAAGATAAACTATATACACTTACTTGCACCTAGCGTTTCGAATGAGAATTTAATGTAGAGAGGGCGTGGGCATCGAAGTTTGTGTACTAACGCCCTCTGAATACCGAACTAAAGTGCAGTCGTATACAAATCGATGAGTTTCTAGAGAATGAAGCAAAAGAGACCAAGACTAAGATTCAGATTGTTTATTGTGTCATAAAACTGATATTAAGCCAAGATAGAGATACGTGTTCTCAATTCCAAGGAATACTACAAACAATATTGATCACAAACAAAATGCAATGTATAAAGAACTTGTTCATCCTAGATCAATATGAAAGAACCGAGTACTCTCTAAAAAAAAATGGTGTCATAATGAACCTTTCTTCAGTTCTAGCCAGCGAGTATAGAACTCCAAAAAGTTTCAAACTTTCGTACTAAAGCTTTTTCAGTTCTAGCGAACATGTCTAGAACTGAAGAAAGGTTCATTATGACACATTTTTTGGAGAGTACTCACAAATACAAAATGAGTTGGTTTACCGACTATGGTGTGGATAACAAGAAACTTACACCCATCAATGGTTATTGTTCCTATTCACTTGTGTCTCTTGAAAGAGTATTAGAACCCATCGTACTTCAACTCGATCAACTAAATTGTTCCATCAAATAAGACAAAAACATTGTCATTATCCATCAGATTACGGTCTCACACGCGATGAATGGGCTGCTCTGCTTTTGCACACGGTGGAAGGGGATAAAAATAGTTTCTACCAAGCGCTTAACCGAATATTGCGAGAGGAAGACCGAAACAAAGTCACACCATGGTTCACCTATATGAAACTGTTCAACATGATTCTCAGTAAATTACTAACCGTAAAGGAATGTGTTTGGCGAGGTGTATTCAATACGATTAGAAAGCATTATTAGGAAAGTGAACTATTGACTTGCTGGAATGTAGGCTCTTGTTCAGTGTCGATCAACGTCGTCGAAAAGTTTATAAGCACAGATAACAACTCAGCTCTCTTCGTGATCGAGGCTCTACATGAAAAGGAGTGTCACGGAACCAAAGAATTACACTAATACCACCCTCCAGACCTACACCCACACCCCACACCTACCCTTAGGATTTCCCAAAAATGAATATATGATGTTTCTCTGACGCAAAAAAAGTCAACTTATCCGATAACTGATTGCCAAACTGCAAATCTCGAATTTTTTCACTCAAATTTTACTACAAAACATAATGTTTCTCACAGAACAACGGTTCAGACTCAAATCTAGTTTCTAACAAAACATGAATGAGATAGGTTGTGAAGTTCATCTCAAGTAACACAGTTTTTTATTGTACTTTTTACAAAGCGAAATACAATTCGATTAAAAAAATAAAAAACTATAGACAAGCATAAGATAAAACTGATAATTTCTGAACCAGTACTGTTTGATTATTTTGATAAATGCATTTAAACTTCGTCTCGACATGTTTCATCAAAGAAAAATGGTATATCTAAAAAATTCTTATAAACCGATGAAAACCAGTGCGAACCAGCCGGTCAGGCTATCTCACCCAGTCCATCGAGCACCAATTCGATCTGGCCGGACCAGTTACAACTGTGTCACGTCCACACCCTACTTTTTTAGTAATGACTTCGAGTATCTTCAAAAATGAATCTCATTTGAAGAGTAAATGTAACAATTGTGAATCTTCTATACGATTAAAATGGGAGCCGATTAATATCTTCTGAAAGAATGAAGTTTTATTCACAGCATAAAATGCTTGATTTATTATCGTCTGAATAGTTTCTTTTCAATGACAACAAAAGGAGTTTCGAAGAAGATGACAACGATGATGGCAGCAGCATAGCTAAAGATGAGATGGGAAATAAAACTATTAACAACAGTATCTGCTTGATAATAGACTGGCGTGTATCGATTGTAGATTGTGATATTGATAATGGTCGAATGGATGAGATAAGCTGCATAGTTAAGACGGCTTAGAGGTGCCCAAATCGGCCATGAAAGAATTGTATTGACAATTCCACCTTGACCGATACTGCAGAGAAACAGAAGCCAACCAATGACCAAAGACCAGCATGTGTGTGAAAGTGTTTGATAAATGACAAGCCACAATCGATCGAGGCCCGGTGCACGAATATAATCGGGATATAAAAAGAAAAGACATATGAAAGCTATCATAATAGCTAGAAGAGTTCCCATTGTTTTTTTATAGACATTTATCCGATACAAGCGACTGGTATTGATGACAAAGAAACCTGTAATGAGTCCAACGGCATATGCTGAGATACGACACCATGGAGTTATGTAGATATCATAGAAGAAACTTGGACGGGTCTATTTAAATGATATAATAAAACGATTCTAGGATAAAAGGCATTCTTACTGTGGATGAAAATTCTTCTATAGTGTTGAGCGGAATTGTTGGATTGTAGAGAAGAATGCTCAGAATCGATCCGATACTGACGAGAACAAGAAGAGCAGCAATAATGAAAGCTATCACCTTTCGACCGATAACAAATGGAATGAGAGCTAGTGGTGCAATCCAGTGAAATTGCATATCGTTGAAAAGATACCATGAAACAGGTAGGCATGCATCTTCCGGCTTAACTAAATTTCCGACGTAGAGAATGGATGTCCACCAATAATGATAACGACAGCCGTCTGTTTCAAAGCCTTGTTTGATCGGATACATTGGCCCACGGCCGAAAAACGGTACCAGATTGATGCTGACTAATATGACAAGAGAAAATGCTGGCGTAAGACGAATGTATCGATGAATGTAGTAGAGAAACATGAGACGAAATGACAGTTTTTCTTTCTCGACCTTTCGAACGAAGGTAATGACTGTCAAGAAGCCACTTAGAACGAAGAATGTGTCAACATTCAAAACAGCATTAATGATCAATTGGAAAGCGATGTTGTGTGTCCACATCAAAGCATCGATCATGTTGATCGCATAGGTGAAACTGTACAGAATCGAATGGCCACAAATGATCCAGACCAGTGCCAGAACTCGAATACCGTTCACGAAGGCGAATGACGTATCATCATTCGTTCGTGTCATCGTAAATACACGGCGAAGCGTGCGTACGGCCGAAAATTCCGCTATGAAATTTGTACGAGCCGTTGAAGAGAATAGACCTTGAGAAGAAAAACGAGAATAGTGCGATTGATTGATCGAGTGGATCTCAGTTACACCGTCGTTATTCGAATGATGATTGGACTCACTGATATGTGAAGTTAAGCGAGCAATGGAATTACGATTAGCAGCAAGTACTAGATGAACAATTGTGCCGATAAGTACCAGAATGCCAAGTAACGCAAGTACGAAGCAGGTAGCCACTGGTCCAGTAGATAGATTTTTCTGTTCATTCGAACAGACAATTTGTTCATCACTGACATTGCTCTTCTTGAATAGTTCTCGAATTAGAGAAGCTACTGCTTTGCGATCACACGACGCCGGTACACACAAGCCAAGAACAATATTTTCAGTTAAATTCATTTGTGATATTTCGGACTCCGGGAAGAGTGTACCTATGGAGTATAATCAAACTATTTAGAGGCTTAATTCCAAGTAAATACACTTACAATGGAGAGTATCGAAAGGTTGTTTTACGAACGTTTTACTCTCAGGTGAATATATTGGTTGTATGCATTCGTCATAATTTCCGATCCAAAAGAAATTTCCAACAAGTAAACCTGATGGTAAAGGTTTGCCCCATGAATCGAAAACTTTGAGTGCCCACCTATCCTGACGAATTGCCGCTTCGATCAGTTCCACAAAGTCTTGGTCGCAAGAAGTCATGTGATTGCTGTCTGATGACGACAGTGACGAAGCATATACAAGCATGTCATCAAGTGTAAAAGTATATGAAATATGATCAACATCGTAGTATGTGAGATGTTGATACTGACGGAGTCGATTGATGGCCTCGTCAAAACGAAGTGGAATTCTCGGATTTTCTCGTTGACAAATGATACTCGGTAGCAAATAAAATAGCAATAGAACAGCTACGTACATCTTTTAGCTGTTGTTTTCGAATGAATATCACGTGACAATTACATCACACCTTTTATGATAAGAAAGAGAATGATGAGAACTATCTATGTCATGACTATGTTTATCAAAGAATTGTGAGATTTCTTAATTGTTATAACTAAAACAGTTGGCACGAAATTTTTATATAAATCATAATCCCAAATTTTTGAATGAAAAATACCGAAAAATAACAGTATTGTTGGCACGACTATAAAAATAATAGCGTAAGTTTAGTCTTCTTTGATCATACCAGCTTTTTCGATCGACGACATCCTTCGTAGAACAATCTATTCTTGTTTCAGAAACAGTACATCGATCTGAATGTTCTATGAGTGTAGGTGTTGGTGTGAATCAAAGTCTTGTAGCCACCCATACACCAACACACCCGCGCCTACACCACTCTTCACACCCAAACACTCACATCCACACCCGAACACTCGCATCCATACTCACACTCTGGAATATTTTTTAAAAAGATTTTCAAGAAACGTGTGACCTGTTCTTTCAGAAAAGGATCGGTCAATCCTTAGGATAAGCGTAACCTTGTTTAATATTTATTACACTAGCGAGAATTCGTGCATACTGCACGCCAGCTTTTCTTTGTTTACCGTATAACCTCAAACATTTAATCTTTCATTCGATAACAGACACATAGACACTCGATATTATGTACATAGAAGCCCTACGGCGTGATATCCGTATATCGGTAGGTACACATATAGTCTTACGACTTTATAGCCTTATATTTCTTGTGGCCTTACTCCCTTATAGCGTTTCTCAATTGTAGCATTCTTCTCTTATATCCTTATCCCCTTATTCCCTTATATCTTTACCGTTTATAGCCTTACTCCCTTATAGCCTTCCCTCCTTGTACCCTTACCCCCTTATAGCCTTACCTCTTCATAGTCTTACCCTTATAGCCTTACTTCCTTATAGACTTCTGCCCTTAGTCTTATCCCCTTATAGCCTTACCCCTTTCTAGCCTTATCCTCTTATAGCCTTACCCCCTTGTAGCCTTCCCTTCCTAGTCTTATTCCTTTTAGCCTTACACTGCTGTAGCCTTACTCCTTGTAGCCTCACGACCTTTAACCTTTGACTCAGCACAGAGAAATAGACATTGAACATTATATATATATATATAGATAATCATCGTAACAACGGTAAACTCTCTTCAAAGATGTTTTAAAACGATCGGGATATGTAAAATGATCTTAACCCTTTAGGGACTGCGGGACATACGTTGTCCCACCTATTTTTCAGTAAAAAACTGTTTGTTCTACATTAAACTATTATTATTTTTAAGGTAAATAGGTCGCCCACCTGGTATCTCATGCAGATCTTGTTTCTCTTTCTTCTTGTAATATAGATCCTTCGCAGATGTTCTTCTTTCTTTCTGCTACTATATACTGACGCATGATTTCTCCCTCTCATCTCTCGATGCATTATCATGAGGTTTTTATTTTATCATTTTGAGCCAAATACAAGAGACTGATTGAAAAACCATTTTTTGATTGAAATAAAATTCGGTCCTCAATGGATTAATGATCAAAGATATGCTATCTCGAGATTGATTGAATCTTATAGATTGATGTTCATTGATATCTATTTTAGTATAACAATAGCAATAATATTCAAAACAGTTCTTTTTGACATTATTGCGATAGTAGCAAGTTTTCATTTGTAGTGAGCATCTCTACTTGAAAATCTTTATTTTAAATTTGACAAAGACAGAAGTATAAAATTTTGCTGAATTAGAGGTAAAATCTTAAATAGTAAAAGCAATTCATATGAGCAACTAAGATATATATGTCGCAGCACAGAATAAGATTCAGTTCAGTTTTAAATTGTCCTAGTTCAGATTAAAATTTTGATTTGAACTAGGAGAAAATAAAATTTTAATCTGAACTAGCACAGATTAAAACGATTGTGAAGTCAACTACGTAGTTCACATTATAATTTAGGTTTGAACTAGGACAAAATGAAATTGTGATCTGAACTATTCACAGCGGACTATTTCGGATTAAAATTTTTATCTGAACTAGTTCAAAGTGAAATATCGAGTCAATACAATTGAAAATATTCGAAATATTTTACATTTGTACCAAAAACATTGTTATGTTGGTCGTAAAAGTGATACCTCTTTTGCACGTCACAATAGCTGGCACAGAAGTGGAAAATATACTAATAAACAAGTTTTACATTTCGAGTCGCTGTTACAGTGACATTTTGCTATACTCTGCTCTTAATCAAACGTTTTTTCGTGCTGGTTTGCATTTAATGCCAGAGCAGACACTGATGTCATCTCGGAGCTGGCTTAGATTTTCTCAACGATTTCCACCTCTGTTCAAACATTTGGGATATGACTGTATTGTTCAGTAAAATGGTTTTATTTTAGCAGCTACAGATAGTTTGGTCACAAGCAAGTGCCTAAAAATTCTTCTTATCAGGTTGATTAACTTAACTCTCGAATTTGACGGGAAAAAAGGTTAGAATTCGATGCAATTCTGTCGAAATTTATCGGAATCTTGATCGAAGACTTCCATTAGTCGAATCCAATTATTAGAATGCTCGAGAACTTCGATAGGATCCCAATAAAAAAGTTCTTTGATCAGGATTTTCATGAACCTCGATGGAATCTAATCGAAACAATCAAGATTTGGTGGAATGAGTTCCACCGGAACCAAGGAGACCTACACTTAGGGGATATCTATATACGATTACTGTGATGGAACTTGTTCTCCAAATTATTTGTAAATTATTTGGTGACTTCTCGATTGTTGTATTCACTCTGAGTGATTGCATTGTTCGCAAATGTACAGCATTTCTATGGCTCGATCTTTCACTTTGAACTAGTTCAAATCAAAATTTTAATCTGAACTAGAACAATTTAAAACCGAGCTGAATTTTATTCTGTTCTGTGACATATACATACTCTGAAAAACAACTAAGAGACAAAATGCGGATTAGAAATTTAAACTAATAGTTGTTAATGTTTATATGTTATAACTAATTTAGTCTCAAGTGTCATTTGCAATTAGAAAAATCATCCGATTGTAAACAACTTGCTGTTATAGAGTTACTAAATTTAAGAAATGATTTTTGATCTCATAATAATCATATTGGAATTCTTTTCTTCTACTGAGCATAACGCAAAACATCAGTTTTCTCAATCCTGGCTACTTACGGCATCCCGCTAACTTTGTCGGATCGGACTGAAATTTTTACCACTAATCCTTGGAAGAATTCTTCAGAAGTAAAATTAGTTGTTTTCGTTTTTGGCTCCGAACATCATTCATCTAATTGCATTGAATAAATTTTTAACACATTAATGAGCAAGTGTATTTCGAGTACCGCTAAGTTGATGCATAAGCAAATGTTCGGTAACATACTCAACAACTTGAAAAACCTTCAATACTCTCGAATTCACCAGTCTTTTCTGATCCTTTAATTGAAAAATCAAAAGCTTTCCAACATAAAGTTATGTTTCTTTTTTCATTTTTGATAATAACAAATGTCGATGGTTATTATTTCAAAAGAAATTTGATTCGTTCGAGTGTATACTATTTTGTATGTCACGAAGCTAGGCAAGGACATTTTGTTGTAGATAAAGAAAGTCTTCTAAGGTGAAGATAATTTCATCTTTTTTGTTTTCTTTATATATTTACTGTTCGTTGTAGAAATGTTTTGTTCATAGAAGAATTACTTGGGATCTTTGACAAAAAAAAAACATTTAATAGAAATACACAATGTTTTTTGAAAGTTTTATATCTTATTCAAGATTCAGCCTATTGTGATCTCTGTCCGGTACTTTCCTAATTCTTCGGATCTAGTATCATGTGAGTTTTGGTTATTTAACTTAATTTACAAAAAAATCTGATCGATGAAAACGATTTAGAATTGTTGCATTGTGCTGCATCCAACTTCATGAACTCTTTAAATAAAGAAGAAGAGTACAGAAAAATGTTTAATAAATGAATTCAACGAATGCAATTGTGTGTGGATAATCTTGGTGATTACTTCGAAATATTTGATGAACTTGGTTCTGTATTTCGTTTTGTTCTACCTTCACTACTTTTTGTATATCCTAATATGCATAGACAGCTAGATATCGAAGGAAATGAGAAAAAAAGAGAAAGGAGAAGAAGATACACATAGACGACAAAATATGATCCAATATAACTGTTACATATCGTAACAAACAGATTTTATCGAAATTTTATTATTATAATATTAGTTGACGAATGATCAAATATCAGAGAAACTATTCATCGATTGAATACATCAAAAAAATGAGTAGTTAAGAATCTTTTCTTTTTTATATGTTATACAAATCAATTCTGGAATAGTTTCCTCTAGACCAACACTAAATCAGATTTATCTGGACTAAAAAAATACTTGGCTTTCCATACTCTCCTACTCTAATTCGTTCACACACACACACGAGATAGCTATATGACAATGAATATATCGTTTTATTCTCAGTCATGAAACTATTTTTACAAAAAAAATAACTTTCGAATTTATTTTTATTGTTATACTTTATCAATCAACTACAATATTTGAATTTATGATAATATATAACTACTACTTGATAATTCAAATTATTCTCAAAAGTTCGAAATAAAAAATTTCGAAAGACATCCTCTCATTCTATTGTACTACTTATCTAGATTCATGTAAATCTTTTATTTGATTGTCTCAAGAGAGAAGAACAGAAACAGAAAAAAAGAACTGTTACACTTCAACAACGAATTCGTTCAATCCAATTGCTATTTGATCAAAATGAAATAAGTCTTAATGATCTTCTAAAGAAACTTTCTGTGTTAGTTGGAACAAGCAAATGATCATTGTTATCGATTTTTAAATATAAAATACAAACACATTTTATTTGATTATCATACTGATATCATATGCTGCAAGCTATTCAAAATTTTTATATTAAACAGATGATTCAATTTGAACAACTATCACTAAATACTTCTATTAACAACGATTAAAATTCAATATATACAACATAGTTTAAATGATTTGTCGAATAATTCAACGAATTTTCCAATCGATCTCAGCATCTCAATATTCACTTGTTGACGATGATGAGAGGGAAAAAGTAGGCGGAACATAACGTATATGGGATAGTACATCGACAGACGTAGGTGGTCAAAGCAATCAGAAACTGACTGTGCAAAATGATGTCATTCTCTTATTCACATTTTTCTTTTTCTTTTTTTTTTGTTTTGTTTTACATTAATAAAGATATGACTCATCGAAAAGATAATAGATACCAATGCGTTGATAATCAAAGATTAAATAGCAAAACATCTTGTACACTACTAGCTTAGTTATCTTCGCTTTTTTTTTTCTTATTTGTTTATAGTCGCGCGTGGCATACTTGTATGCTGTCAAGTGGTTAGCTTGTTGTTCATAAGCTTTCTCCTCTTGTTCTTCTTTTATCTTAACCGCATTGACTATTATCAGCAGGAAAGAAGCTAATCGATATTGGTCATAACGAAAAAAAAAAAAAATTTATATATATATAAATAATTCTCTCGTTGACACTATCAACTAACAATAAATCGGTGTGTTATGATCTTATTAGCATGAGTTTAACAATTCACTGAGCTATATTGTAATTACACTACGATGAGATATATATATATATATATTTATATTTATAGGAGACAAAAAAAATAGATCCTAACACCTGAATAAGACTTGTCAAAGTGCATCGTCTCATCACACATAACGAAGCTGTTAGTTGTATTCAAATTGTCTTGATACATATGGTTTATATGCACATTTTAGAAAATATTTCGATGATGCGTCAAATAAATAAAAAATATCACCAAACAATGATTAGGATTCGACATGATTTAATCTATTATTTATTTTTTTTATTTTGCATAATTAATCCAAACTAAAAAAAAGAGAAACCTACAAAATAGAGTACATAAACGATATTATATTAAATTCATAAGCTATTTTTAAAAAAATTAACAAGATCTTTTCTTTTTTTTTATTCAAATTTGTCAAGAATTAATTTTCTATATATATATATATATTCTATTTATTCATTTGAATATGCTTTTCGAACCTATCAGATAGCTTTTTACGATATCGAAATCTTGAATCAATTTTCGAGCACTTAGCAACATTACATTCACACTCAATTTACATTGACGACCAGTTCGTTGTCATCATTAGTTCTTATCACACACAGTTCAAGTCTTCAATTTTTGCTTCCTTTTTATTCATTTATGTGTGAATATACATTTAATTCACCTATCGATCACTATTATTCTATTACCATTTGAAAAATCCTATTAAGTTTAAGTGTTTATGCTTCGATGATGCGTGGACGAGAAAGGTAATAATAATGAAAAAGAAAAAGAGAGCAATGTCATTTTTTTCTTCTTTTTCTTCGCCTTTTCGTAATCAAGAAAAAAACAGATGACACTCAAAATTATTTTATAACGGATGGCACCACCAATTGGCATCGACGAAGACAGAGAAAAAGAGAGAGAGAGAGAGCGAAAGTGAAAAAAAATGACCCTTGCTGCGATTTCTTCGATATGCACTATCAGACACATCACTTTCATTATTACATACATTGACATTTTGTTAATAATCAAGTATACGTGCATAGGTAAGATTATACACATGTGTCCTTCTTCGAAATGAAATAAGAATGTTGCATATCTAATTGACTCAGTTAAAGAAAGGAACTAATCTATTAGTATCGGTTATGTTGTTATTGTTATGCGCCAGCTTCTTTTTCTTTTTCTTTTTTTTTTATTACTAGAACGAAATGATGCTTAGTTTACAACATACAAATATGGATACAAAATCGACTAGTGATGAAACATTATCAACATCAATGGTTTCAGAAATCAATGATGAAAAAGAAAATATACCATTATGTACTTATTGTCGAAAATCATTTGCTAATTATTCTAATTTAAGACATCATATACAAATTGTTCATTTAAAAGAAAGTAAATGGGATTGTAGTAAATGTGGAAAGGTAAAATATTCTAATTTATTTGCATTGGTTTTTTTTTTATTAAATTTCTCTTGTTATATTATGAAGATTTGTTCATCGAAATCAAATCTTAAAGTTCATTTTCGTACACATATTCGTGTTAAACCATATACTTGTAAATATTGTGAATATGATTGTATGCATCATTCATCAATCAAAGATCATCTAACAAAAAATCATCCAGATAAACCACATACAAGTATTGAACCAGGGTAAGAATTTAGAAAATAAAATAAAGTCAATAAAAGTTTAAAAAAAACGATTTCAAATTATTAATCATCAATTCTACTTCTATTTTATTCAAGAGTAGAAATCTGAAAAGATTCTAAGAGTTAAAAGTATCTTGCTGGATTTTTCATTTTTAATTAATCAATTCAAGTTTTATAAACACAATTGCAAGCGAGTACGGATGTGTAAGGTTCTTCTTTGGGGAAACATTGAAGTATAGGAGTAAAAATATGGGAAGTTCTCATAGACTGTGATAGACTGCATATCAATGGTTAAGTAAAAAAGGATGTGTCCAAAAACACATAGAATAAAACAATTTTGCTGTGATTAGTAACAGTAATTACATTGTATTTCACATTTTAGTTTTTGTTCCAGCAGCTTAAGGACCCTCCCCCCTTTCCCGACTCAAAATTTTCACATTTCTTGTGATTAGTATATAGATTTAAACGCCCTCTATCCATTGAGCACACTTTGAGAACTGAAAGCCCACATCTTATATATAAAAAACTCGAAAAAAATCACAAAATATGCTGAAAAAGCACAAATTTCTTTGCGTTTTTCTCAAAATCAGTTTTTTCAGCAAAAAAATGAAATTTTCTCTCCTGGTACTCCAACCAATCGAGCTCAAATTTTTACTGTGAATATTTTGAACAAATTGGGGCGTGTCTTTTTTTTTCTTTCGAAAATATTCTTCCTAAGGAATTTTACTAGATACCACAAAATTGACACTATAAGAAAAAAACGCATTTTTTGATAGTGCCATCAGTAATTTGATTCTCCTGGCCTTCAGGAACGATATTTTCCAAAGAAAAAAAAAAGACATACTCTAATTTGTTTCTAGTTTCTGCAGAAAAATTTCAGCCCTAAACAATGAAGTATAAGAGTTTGCGGGGGGGGGGGAGGAACTTCAGGACATTTTTCGCCTTTGGGTCGCAAATATCTCTGGAAAGAAAGCATTTTCGAATTCTGAGTCTATTGACAATTTTTGCTCTACTTATCGAGATCTGTCTACTCTGAAAGTTCCAGAAACGTTTACCCAGCCGTTCTCGAGAAACCTCGGAAAGGAGGGAGATCCGCTTAAGCCTCAACTCAAAGAAAAATTCAACTGGCAATTACTGATGCATTTTGGTCATCTCTCCTAAAGTTTAGATAAAAGAAAATTGAATTATAACTTGTTGTTTCAATTCGAACAACATTTTTTTTTGTCATAGTTTTGTATTTAAATTCATCCTATTGAATAGCATGACTATTCTATTCTATACTATAGATTGTAATCGACATTTGTCTATCGTATAGTTAAATATTTTATTTAAAAAAAAAACAAACTTTTATGTAAAGATATGAAAATTAAATTTTGTTTTATTTAGATATAATTATAATTCACAAGCTGTTCCTGAACCTGATGAATTTAATTCCGTTGATTTTGATCCAGCAAAATTTGTTGAACAACAAACACAATGTAAACAACGTCAATCACTTATTGTTAATAATAATGGTACATTAAAATATACTCAAACAATGACAACAACAACAAAAAATACAACACATCCAAATAATCATATAACAATAACAAAACCAAAACGTTTTCGTAGTGATACAAATCTATTAAATACATCTGAAATATCATCATCATCAACAACACCAACATCACCATCCTCATCATTTTCATTTCTACCTCCATCATCATTTCCATTATGGCCATTTAATCTTTATCATCCATCATATATTCCAACGATGATGAATGCAATACGTTTATCATCATTTTCAAATTCAATTATACCTCCAATTCATGAAGAAAAACATACAAAAAAAACAAATCGAAAATCATTTGAAATTGAAGGAATATTAAATTTATCATTACGTGATAATAAACGTAAAAATCTTTCCGATACACTTTCAAGTGAAGAAGATGAGTCAATTTAAACTGTTTTGTTTTTTCTTTATCGCATTTCTGTTTATTTTTGTTTTTCTCTATACAAAAAAAAAAATAAAATAAAATAAAATTCAGCAAAATAAACAATTAATTAAATTTTTTATTTTCTTTGAATTATTTTTTATTCTCAGGTGGTATTAATGCTGATAATTCATCATTGTTAGATAATGAAAATGATGGATAAACAAGTGTAACTAAAAGTGTAGCAATTAGAACAATAATAAACATAAAAGAAATCATTAACCATGTTGCTTTTAATAAACTTCCAGCAAATAATGGACCAATAATAGTTGCTACATTAATAACAAAACGTTGTATACCTTGACCAATACCTTGTTGATCATTATGTGTTTGTTGTGTAAATAAACTTGTTGTTGTTACAGCAATAAGTGGTAATGCAAAAATATCTAAACCAACAAATAATAAAAATACTGGTAAATATTTGTCTGAACCAACTTCAGAAAATGGTAAAATAATAACACCAATTGAACAAGCTATACTAAGTATTATATAAGCAAATAATAGAATTGCTTCATCATGAATTTTTTTTGTTACAAAATGTAAAATAACATAAACAAGAGTTATTTCAATACCAGCTATAGCAAATAGAACTGATACTTCTAATTCATGCCAACCAAATTGAATATTTGTAAATGGTGTTAAAGCTGTTTCAAGTGCTGTTTGATTAAAATAAGCAATAAATGCTGTTATAAGAAGAACCTAAATTAAATTTTAATAATAAAAGTTTTTCATAGAGAATGATATAGAAATTGAAATGTATTCATTGTTTTTTCTCTTCTTTTCTTCCGACAAAATTATCTACTGACAAAAGAAGTCAATATATCTGCCACGGTTTGTGATCTCCTAGTAGATTTTCAATCTGTCATATAAATGCTGAGATTTCTCACAATGATTAAAGTAACGGGTGGCCCATAAATAATTATACTGTTAGTATTTTCGAAATTTCTACTCTATTATCGCTTTGACTAAAACACTTTTTTTATCAAAAGATAGCGCTTGAAATTCTCTACAAAACCATATATAATTAGTTCCTAAAACTGTTTTAGATATATTTGAAAAAAGATGAAAAATAAAGACATACACAAAGCTAGAAAAAATAACGGGATGGACATAATGAAAGGTCGTGCTTTGCATATAATGTTTTCATTACTTCACCCTATTAAAAAACAAAATATACCAAAAGGTGCAGCGTGAAAAGCTCTACAATTTACACAAGACTACTTATTGTATAGTTGCACTTTTTGTTTTCAAAATGGACAAAGTTTTGAACGATCACATTTCGACCGCGCAAAAATAATATTGTTTTTTTGACACAAGATGAAGTCATTTTTTCTTATTTCATCTTCTTATTACCTGATATGTTTTCTTAAAAACAAAATATACCAAAAGATTCAGCGTGAAAAGCTCTACAATTTACAAGGAACAAATTATAAAAAGAGGAAATAAAAAAACGAAGTCATCTTGTACCAAGAAACAATATCATTTTCGCACGGTCGAAATTTGATCGCTCAAAACTTTGTCCATTTTGAAAATAAAAAGTGCAACTATAAAATAGGTGACCTTATGTAAATTGTAGAGCTTTTCATGCTGCACCTTTTGGTATATTTTGTTTTTTTAATAGGGTGAAGTAATGAAAATATTATATACAAAGCACGACCTTTCATTATGTCCATCCCGTTATTTTTTCCAGCTTTTTGTATGTCTTTATTTTTCATCTTTTTTCAAATATATCTAAAACAGTTTTAGGATCTAGTTATATATAGTTTTGTAGAGAATTTCAAGCGCTATCTTTTGATAAAAAAAGTGTTTTAGTCAAAGCGATAATAGAGTAGAAATTTCGAAAATACTAACAGTATAATTATTTATGGGCCACCCGTTAGTTTCACCGTGTTTAATATTTTAATTCCATATGGATAGCAATGAAAGCTTTTTCTTGACTATCTATTTGCAAAAATTTCCTCTCTCTCTTGGCATCTATGGGCGAACAGAAAATTTTCTAGGACTACAAATTCTATATTAGCCTTGTATACTTTATCTCTTATATCTCCGCGAAAAATATGGTATAAATATTACTATTGTCCATTTCTGACATAAATGGCTGAATGGCATTTCTTGAATACCTTTTGATTGGTTCAGACTATCGTGCTCTGGATTTCAACATTGGAGTGGGCAAACTCTGAGGCGTGTATTGATATAATATTCACTAGGATCAAAGGCATTTTTTTCCAATAGTTTGCGCATCGTTATGTTTTTTATTCGATATTTTCATAAGTTTTTTATGATAATCTAACCTCAAAATATACCAAATTGTAGCCCATATTGCTCTGATCTATGTTGTAAAATTACTACAACTTAAAATGATCTCGTTGACAAAAGAAATCATTTAGACATGATAAAAGCGTGAAAGTTACACTATGTATACAGGACGATTTGAACTACAATTTGGTGTATTCTCAGGTTAGATTATCATAAAAACTTATGAAAATGTTGCATGAAAAACATAGCGATGCGTAAACAGTTGGAAAAAAAATGTCTTTGACCCTAGTGAATATTATATCGACAGATGCCTCAGAACTTGCTCTTTCCAATGCTGAAACCCAGAGCTCGATAGACTAAGCCAATCAAAAGTTATTCAAAAAAAATGCTCACAGCCATTTTTGTCGGAAATAGACAATAAATATATGCTAAATTACAATGATTTAAAACTTGATATCAAAGTGAATTTATTCAATATAATTAGAGTATTTTTCATGAATGTCTCACTTTTTTTACTGTACTTCGAAGTCTCGCTTTTCCTCCCCTTGTTTTTAAAATCACTAAAAATAACTTATTTCCAAAGTAAATATTTTTGTGGTTTTTCTTATTTTAACTTGCATTATATTGACTAAGAAAAAAGAGATAATGAGTTTAAACTTGACAAAAAAAGAAGACTGTGGAGTCGAGGTTTTCTGAAATTTGATTTTCTTTTTTTCTGTATGGATATAAAGAAAAACCTCACCTTATTGCTTTTAAATACGCTCAAGAAGAAGAACAAAATTTGTACTCGATAATTCAAAGATTAAGAGAACTTGTAACTTTTCAAAGTTGTCTAATTATATTTAGTGTCCGTTTTATTAATATAAAATACTTTTTTAAACTTTGAAAAAGAAATCACAACATACTATAATTGTAGGTTTTCTGCATGTTGAAGAAATACGTTTACATACAAAAGCTAATGAGTTTCTATTGCATCCTTCTGATGATAATTTCTCTTCATTCTAAAATAAAACAAAATTCAATTTTTTGTTTTCTTCTTCATATTTAATTTCAACTTACTATTGTTTTTGGTGCATCAAAAAAGAAAAAGATTGTTAAAATTAATGTTATTATCCATAAAATTGCCATAAGTAAACCTGGAGAATTATATATTGTTACATTTAAACCAAATAATGTAAAATTCATAGTTCTACAAATAAGTGTAAAACATGGACCAACAAAAAGACCTATTTGACGACAAGCTAGAAAATAGTTAGGAAATAAATTTTCTTTTTTCTTTTTAGTAAAGTCTTTTTTTTTGTTTTGTTACCAAGTATTTTTGCAAGAAGTTGTGTTCGTGTGTCTGATGTTGATCTTCTTGATATTTCTGCTAATGTTGGTGGCTAAAGAAAAAAAAAACAAACAACAACAATCAAATTAAAAATGGAAACAAATTTTTTTCTTCATAATAATCTCTTACTACTAAACCCATTCCAATTCCAGCAATTAATCGAGCTATAATAACAACATAAAAATTAATACCAATAAAATAAAGTAAATTTCCAATTATTTTAAATCCAATACAAATTATAGCAATTTGTTTTAATGAATAACCAATATCACTCAAATGTCCAAATATTAAACCAGCAATTGAACTTGATAATGCAAATGCAGCTAAAAGTCCACCGATGACAAGACCACTATGTTTTAATTCTCCGAATGAATTAAGATAACCCCAAGCTGTAGGTAAAATAATAGCATAATCAACACCTAGAGAAAAATTTTGATTTAATTTATTTTATTTTAAAATTAAAATTTGATACCAATTAGAAAAGCAATAAGACCAATGACTATTAAAGTTCCTGTTCGTTCACGTTGTTGAGCCGGTGTTAATGCATCTATATTATATTGTGAATCTTTATCAAGATTTTCATAATTATTAATTGATGTCTTCGGACTTTCATTATTAGAATTTATTTCTATTAAAGGAGAAGAAGAAGATTGTTTTTGTTTTGAAGTTTCATTATCATCGTTTTCTAATCGATCATTACTAGCCAATTGTGCTAAAGGTTGTTGACTATTTATATTGTTTGTACTCATTATAAATGAAAGGTAATAGTGTCTAAAACAACAAAACATTTTACATGTTTCATAACAAAAAATAAGCATAATATTATTTGTTAACTCATTTTATTATTTATTATTTTTTTGCTCAATACAATGCACACACACTTTCTTCATGTAGATGACCTTGGAATATGTTATATCTTTTATGAAATACTAGTACATTGGACTTGTTCTATATACACATAACCTTATCTCAAGGGGTAAAGTTTCAGACAAATGAATATTTTTATGTCAACATAAAAATAAAAAACAAAAGCTCATATTTATCTAAAACGACAATCAATTTTCTTAAATGTATAATAATATTTCATTCTTCTGTATTCTATTCTTGACATATAAATGGAATAAAAGAAAAACTATCGGAAGTCAAATATGGAAAGAACATTACGCTCACATACAACACATAAAATATGTGTTAAAAAAAAAACAAAAAGATTAAACTATTTCTAACAACTATTTCAAAAACAATGTAAAAAAAGGGAAAAGATCATTTCAAATTTTATTAGATAACATTCATCCATATCACATACGCTTCTATCATATGGTAAAATATTAGGAAGATTGTCCTTTTTTTTTCTGTTCTTCGTTCACTATACAACTACCATTACATAGATAGTTAAACAATCGAAAGAAAAAGAACAGGTTTTTTTTCTCATACATTTTACAATATTTTTCTTTTTCTGTACAATATTATTACGACGATGGATGTCAATGATGCGTGAAACTATACAGGTGAAGATGCGTCTACAAACATTTATATATGTCAATTGCAATTATCTTATAGAAGAAAAAAACTGCAGCAAGAGAACGATAATGAATCATATTCACTATGAATAAGCAAAAGCAAAAGTTTGAAATCTATTGCATTATTTTGATAAAACGATGATTTTCTCATGCGTGTACATTTAACAATTCACACATAATAACAATGGATAGAAGAAAAAAAAAGGCTCTATTTTCTATTATTAAAAGACAAGAATAGAACAATAATAATTTCCGTTTTATTATCATTCTTAAACATATCGGAAATGGTTTTAGCTAACAAAAGTACATTCACAAGATTTTCGAATAATAAAAGCTTATACATCCGACACTATAGAATAATATGTGGATTGAACAAAAATATTTCAAAGAAAAAAAATGGGCAAAGTTAAATTAATAACGATAATTTTATACTTGAAAGGATTTGTCTAGTATTTAATTATACTAACCTTCATATGTACATATTCGATTAAGTAACACGTATTCATCAGTGATTCGTATCTATTTTGAGATTTATTTGTCACATTCGTTGGATTACGGTCACGGTTCAGTTATGATGAAAAATTTTTCGATTATGTTTACATACATGACATTTATTTGTATGTTTATGAATGTTTGTAATGACCCATTTTAGCAAGACATCTTTCATTATGATTTAATTTATCAGTAAAAAAAAAATATGACATCAAAAGAAAATCAATATATTAAATACCTGATTAACAAAAGACTAAATAAACTTTATTATTAAGTATATAATAAAAAAACATATCATCTGCTGAATATAAACAAGCAAACAAAAAGAGTTTTGCATCGTTATATTAAGAGGGGGAATCCCCACTCCGAAATCTATCTTCTAAACGGTGCAATAGATTTCGATGAAAATTTCAGGATATAGAACAACTAATGTAACTAGCATTTGATAAAAATTTGAACCAATCATTTTTGATAATTAATGAGTTATACTCAATTTACTCCTAAAAACGAGGCTTCTGGCACGGAACATTTTCCCGATGTTTGATAGCATGAAAAATATTGAACTTTGTTTCAAAATGAAGAAAAATCTTTTATCTAGAAATTGTAGGAACAGTTTTCTTTGAAATTCATTTTCGTTGAACTATAGTAACCATTTCAAACTGAGAATCGCGAAAACTGTTTTCGAGCTCTTTCAAAGATTTTCATATATCTGAACAATGGATACATATTTTTAAAATGTGTCCCTACAATTTCTAGAGAAAAGTCTCATCTTTTGAATAAAACAAAAATCTTAGCAGTGTATGTCAAACAGTGGACTGGGAAAATGTTCCACAGTGATCAGTAAACGATAAAATAGTGAAGCTAAGAAAAACGAATAATAACATTACGAAGTAGTTGATGATGTTTCTGTATAGGAAATTAGAGAATGTTATATATCATTGAAAAGTATGTAAAAAGTTTTTACAGTTGATGATATTTTCAAGAAAAAATTAAGCTAATTTCTAAATCTAAGTTTACTGTGGCGCCACCTTTACGAAAAATAACCTAATTTTGAAGCTTCTTTCTCTGACTGCAACAGTCTGAACATGATTACTTGATACGTCGATGGTTTTATACGGCTGATGAAGAAGATGGAACGATATCAATCGCCGATAACTAAAGTAAAAAGATCAACACAACAGTCGATTTTCCACTATGATTTCCAATAGATGCCCCAAAATTTGGCAAAATATGTTCCGTTCTTATACAATTTATACATATTCTGAAAGAGGACACCAAGGACGACTAGAATATGTGTTTTTTCAAAAAATCGATTTTCGGAGGGGGCCCCCTTAAACATTGTCTATATGCAAAAAGAAAAAAACACGGTATGTTAACGAAAGGTACGGGTGTGCATCGATCAGGAACGAGAGAGAAAAGAAAAGAACAATTATTTAGTATGAACAGAAGAAAAAAAATAGTGGATATATGAGCACGAACATAGTAGCAGTAAATTCCGACAAGTTATCGATAGGAGAAGGAAGAAATTCAATTCACATAAATTGAGTTAATAGTATAGATGAAGCATATTATTTCTATGATATGTAAAGGATAAATCAAAAAAAAAACTAGAAATTTCTCGACAAATGATGATAAGTTATTAGCATCAATGTAATAATCGCATAATTTAAGTCAAGAATAATAAAATATTAAATAGATCATTTCTGACTTGACTTTGATTTATTTAAACTTTCATATAATATGTATATTAAACAATGATCGAAACAGTTGATATTTATACCTATGCTAGATGTACTTATTTTAAGAAATGATACCGACCGGTCTATGAAAAATAAACAAGTTAAAGAGTTCAGCGAGTATCTCTTCAAAACTTGTATCAGCCTCATTATGCGAAATTTACCATCCCATGTGATAAAAATCGGCGGTTAACTGCGGTTTTACCGGTCCGATTACCGGCTCCCGTCACTAAGATTTACCGCGGTTTACCTCTAAAATGAACTGGTTTACTGGATCGCCAATAAACTTTGACATTTCATTGCTTTAAATCATCGATTTGGCTATTTTAAACGTTTTTTTTCTTCCATCTTCCCATGTCATAAAAATGCTCAGAATGATCTCCGGTTTACCGCGGTTTTATCGGTCCGGTTACCGGCTCCCATTACTGTAATTTACCGCGGTTTATCGCTAAAAACTGTCCGGTATTTACGATATGGGATGAGCCAATATTTGATCAGACAGAGTCATTCGAAAATATATCAGGAAATTAATCTGAGGCAAGTGAATATGATGGGTAGAATGAATTTGAAGAAACAATAGAAGAAAGTAATGCACAACCAAGATTAGTATTAAAACGAAAACATAGTTGGAGAATTCTTACTCATCGATTTCGTTTCATTCGTTACCAACAAGACATTTCTCTTGTTCGAGATTACATTCATCTTGATGGATAAGAAGAAAAATAATTGAAGAAATCAATTTGTTTAGTAATACTCGTGAACAATCTTTCTACATTCATCATACGGATTCAAAATGATAGGTTGTAATGAAAATTCAACGACTAGCAATGTTCGATATTTTTTGCTTCAAAAAATTGACTTACTAATTTCAAGCAGAACGTATTAAAGTGTTTCTTGAAAAAACTTCTAAAGTTATTAGCAGACATTAGATAAAAAATACCTACGAAATTAATGCATCAGTTGAAGAATTTGTTGCAAGAAATTTCAAAACACTCGAATATTCACTTTCAAAGACGAAAAGATGACAATAAGTTCAATGAGATCTCGAAACGCAAGTTCTCATTCATACATTGTTCAGTGCACTGTCAATATGGAGGAAGAGATCGTCGATCTTGTAACGATAGTAGCGTACCGCTCCCTTCAGTAATGATGTTTAGTTACTTCACATATAACACACGCTTATATAGAAGAGAGAAAGATGAACACAAGAAAGAACAATAGAGGCAACATACAGAAGAAAGCGGAAAGGAAGAGCAGCGGGAGATGATGTCAATATCGGCATGGACCTCTTTTCTTACGCCTTCGGGAATCAAATAGTTGAATCCCTGAAGATGAATTTCAAGGATTTGGTGTTAAACGCAGAAAAATAAAATATCGAACAGGAAAATATATACAGTGAAAAATGCAGAAGCTGAATGGAAAAAATAGGAATGAGGAAAAGTCGAAAGGAAGAGATTGAAAAGTTGCATGCCGATAATGAACTTTTTCTTTTTATTAATATCAAAAGAGAGAAGAGTTTTAGGGTATAGATGTTAGTCTTTTCTTCACCAACATCCATCCTCAAGATCGCAAAGGCAACGAGATTAAAACATTCGAATAACAATCAATAATAGTAGAAAAAATAAAAATACGTACTTTGCAGACATCATTTCCTTTCACATATTTTTCATTTTCGACATAATCTGTTCATCTATATGATCCTTCCTTTTCCATCAGTCCAAATTCAAAGTTTTCAATCATTTTAAGTATATTAAGTTTCGAATGTTCAGTCCTAAATCGTTACTTGTTCGCAGTCTGAACAACTCACCGAATCTCATGTCGAATATTGACCGGACCATGTTCCTATTTCCAATATGCCTAAGCAATGTCTACTTATAAAGAAGACAAAACAAAGAACAAGATACAACTACTCGATTCATATTTCAATTGACAGATGAAAGATATTATTCACCATATATGATCGAGTTACGCTCGATCAATTAAATATTCAAATGTTCGCCCGAAATAATATAATTAAACTATTACCCATATTCAGATGGCGACAGCAGTCTACCGTCAATTTACACAAGACAGTTGGTTTGTGAATGGATATACGAATATTCATTCTAGATGTTTTCCTAATATTATCGAAACGTGTTTTTCCTTCGAACTATCTCTATATGATGAAGAAAAGCATTCAATTTCTGATTTCATTTATTGTTCATGGTGTCGGAAATTGTTATATTTTTATCATTTCGACAAATAATTTATAGTTTAACTTGAATATTATATAATTTTATTTATTTCTGATACTTAGAAATATTTGTGTCACAAAAAAAATTATTTATAAAACTTCGAACACAAATATAGATTATTTTGTTTTTACAGTTTTATTATAAAGTACATAGACGTCGATAGCTGACCTGCATCAGATAGTGAGACAAGCAAAAAATAACACAATCATATAGACAGAAATTTATTTTATAATCTACAAACATTGTCATCAAGAAGATTGAAAACGAAAAACAATTTTCGTAGTGAAAACTTGTACATTGTTGTCTACTAGACTGGAAAAAAATGTAAAGCAATCGTCAAAATAAATACACTTATGCCATTCATATGGAAGAGAGATTTATCCCATTGGCAATGATGACTACTTAAAAAAAAGAAACACATATATTTATTATCAAATGTATTGAATAGTAGCTTTGAATTTTGATTAATATAAAAATAAATCAACAAAAGAAATATTTCTGATTTTGATCTTATTCATAATACAACTTATTAAATTTTATTCGAATTTATTTACATAAGCATAAAATTTTCTGTAGAAATTGAGAATAAATATAAAATGCATGCCAGCAATATGTTTATCAAGAAGTTGACAAAATTCTACCATGTCATACAATACCTGCCCATTGAAAATTGAAACACACACACAAAAAATAAGTATAGCAAAGCAAGTAATATATTTTTAGTAATACTATCGAGAGTGGCTACTATATCGAAATAAGGTATATTCTCAGAGAATCCAAAAATGGCGGAATAGTTGTATACCTTCTCAATAATTGAAAATTATTCATTATCATTCAGTAAATCTAACAAGATTGTTTTGAAAATTTTTTAGTATCCTTATGTGAAACAATATCGAATATACTTGCTGTCTCCGATCAATCTTTAGACTTTCGCACATCGACTACTCATATAAAATTTTTGATTTTGTATTTTGATACTTTTTTTGTTCAAGCGTTAAAAACGACTATTGAAGAAATTTTTATAACTTTTGTTTTTTTTCATTTTCAAAATCGATTCATAATCATTTCACACGTGAACTTGTATGCTACTTGATAATATTTTTATATCAGTGAAAACAATATATTTTATGACAAATGCAAAGTATGCATAATTATAGACCGAATAAAATATGGTCGACTATGTCTTTACTCTCATTCTTGGTCGTCATTTGATTATGTCTAAGTGTTCACTTGTTAAAATCAACAGAATTTGACAAAGCTTCGTTTCTTTTCTATTCCTTTTATGTTAAGTCGTTTTCACTAAGATTTTAATGCATATTCATATTATTCTCTTCTCGTCTCACCTATATTCAATTGTATGCATATTTTTTTCTTTTTGTTCTATGATTTGTGCCCCCTGAACATAAGAGTATATACACTACTATTATTTCGAATAATAGAATAACAAATTCTTATCATAGTTATTATCAAAACTAATATATACGTATTCATAATCGTATTCTTTTTTTCTTGTATGAGGTTCAATACAAAACGATATATATATAAGAGATGATGAATTTTTTTTCCAGATATGCGAATAATTCATTGGCGTCGATGTAGTTTATCATCAAAAATTTTCTCATTTTTATTGATCTTTATTATTATTTATATATTAATATTTTATATAAGATATATGAATATTATGTCAATTATTTATAATGTATCAAATAATTGTCATAAATTTGAAAGAAATTCTTTAATTCAATCATCATCAATTCCTCCACAATATTTATTAGTTCCATATAATGAATTTACTTTACGTACATCAATTTCTTGTCATTCATTTAAATTTGATAAACCAAAAAAAAATTTATCTCAATTTCATCCAAAATTTTCTCCATATTTACGTGGAATATTTCCATTTGTTATACCATATTCAAATATAACATTTAATGATATAGAAAATTTTTATACAAAAATTTTTCTAAAAAATCAAAATCAAACATCATTTGCTTCAAATATTACATTTGAAAATATACCATATCGATATGAAAATGGAATGTGGTATCCTATTGAAGTAATATCAGCACAACGAACAGCTATATTAGTACCATTACAAAATCGAGATTATAATTCTAAAGTATTTCTCTTGAATATACATGCCTTTGCACGAAGACAACTTCTTACATATATAATTATTTTTATCGAACAGGTAAGTTCTAGAAAGAAAAAAAAATTCTTATTGTGTAATTTGTTTTTTTTTGTTCTCAAGGTTTATCCACTTCGTTCTCGATTTAATAAAGGTCGATTATATAATGCTGGTGTTCGTTATATTCAACAACAACAACAATTATTAAATATAACATGTCTTATATTACATGATGTTGATTTAATACCTGAAAATGATGGAAATTTATATTCATGTGAATCTACACATCCAAAACATACAACAACACGAGTTCGACAATTAAATAATACACAACGTTATACACGTTATTATGAATTTTTAATTGGAGGAGTTCTTCTATTAACATTAGATATGTATAAAATAGTAAATGGTTTTTCAAATTTATATTGGGGTTGGGGTGGAGAAGATGATGATTTATCATTAAGACTTATTCAACGACGTATGTGTGTTATACGACCAAATTATGATTTAGCTATTTATGTTGGTAAGAAAAAATGTCTATTATTTCTTTATTCTTGAAAACTTGTTCTTTTTTCTTTTTTCTTTTTTTAGCATTACCTCATCGACGAGGTCAACGAAATCATGCTCGTTTTCAATTATTAACATGGTCAACTGTTCGTCTTAATGCAGATGGTTATGAACAAATTGATTCAATGATACGTATTATTAATATACGAAAAACATTGACTGTTACTCATCTTAAAATAAATGTTAATGCTGATCAAAATTTATATAAATCATCATCAATGAAAAATTTTCAATCTTCATTTAGTAAAAATTATAATTATATTACAACAAATAGTAGAACTATAACAACTCCAAGAATTTTTTAAAACTACGTCGTTATAATATAGTTATCAACGATAAGCAACATGTCAGATATGTCAATATTAATGATAAAGAAAATTATTTTCTTAAACAAAAAAAAGAAAAATCTTATGTTTATTTATGAAATGTAAATTTTTTTTTTCTTTCGATTTATTTCATTAGTATTCTATATCGATCTTGTTTGTTTTTTTGTTATTAATTGTTTATTTTATTGTCAATAATATTCTCTTCCTACATTGCTCACATAATAACCATTAAAATTTGTAGCAACGACATATATATATATATATTTTTTGTTATGGCAAAGAATCATTTTCTTCTTTTTAATGATCTTTATTATAGCTTTACAAATACCATTGAACAAATAACAATAATCGCAGAGAGAAAGACTTCGTCTAGTTAGATCATCAATCAACGAAGAAGAGTATCCTTAACATATCGAAGAGGGTGGATGTGCATGCTGATATCAGTCTTCTCTTTATACCTACCTCTACATGCATATTCCATGCTTAACAAATATCTGAAACATTTTCACCATTTTTATATGATCAACATTTTTTCTTTCGACCAAATTGAAACATCACCTAGCAATCAAATAAACCAAATTCATATTGCATGATTACTTGCACTACCACTCGATTAGAGAATAACTATTGATATATTGTGATAGAATGGTGGTCAGAGAATAGACGACTATTTACTTATCGCACTACGGCAAGTTTCTTTATCCCTATCGACAAGTACGGACAGCTTTCGTCCGGTTTGAATTGCATGGAAAGAAAATCAATGTTTTCCTCATAGTATGTTTCAATCGTTGTAGTCAAGGTTGTATCTTTCTCTCTCTGTTTATGTGCATCATTTTCATATATTTTATGAGACTTACCTCAAATAAATACGCTAGACTTTTTCACAACCGATAAGCAGACCTTGTGAGAATTAACAAAAAATAAATAATAATAAAAGAATGCTTTTGTTTACCTGGTTTCATTGAGATAATGAAAATATTGAAGGTAAAGATATAAAAACACATTACTGTTTATTCTGCAGTAATGAAACAACTTCTCTTATCTTTATATATCAAATACATACTTTTCTTCTTACATTACTAACATTCTTTTTGATCAGTATTTTATTATTACTAGAAAAAAACAACAAAAGAGTGAAATACACTATATCAATTCAGTAATTTTAATATTCTAGATTATAATTGATTTTTAATTTTATGTATTATTTCAAACGTACGAAATGATAACCAGTAATATGACACTAAGAGAAAAATTAATTAAATGTGGCATCTGTCAAAAACAATTTGAGGATCCACGTATATTACCTTGTTCACATACATATTGTCTACGGTGTATTAAACAGATTGCATCAAATCATCCTGAACACTTTGAATGTCCTCAACATGATGGAGCTATAGTACCAAAAAATTCTATTGATAAATTAAAAGTAAATAGAACAATGCGTAATATAATTGAATCATTAAGTAAGTAAATCAATTCATTTATATTTTTATTTTTTTTTTCTATAAATATTCTTATAGATTTTAATTCTGGTTTAATTCCATGTACAAATTGTAATTCGCTTACATCTGAATATTGGTGTAACAATTGTACAAATAATTATTGTGCACAATGTTCTCGTCAAATTCATGAATTACGTGCATTTCAAAATCATCAATCAATACCACTCAAAGAAAAATCAATCGAATTAATATCTTGTGAAAAACATCAAGATGAAAAATTAAAACATTGGTGTCTAAAATGTGATACATCGATTTGTAGTGATTGTCTATTATATGAACATAAAGATCATCCATATATATTACTTCGTAAAGCTGCTAAAGATTTAGAAACAAAAGTAAATTTTTATAAAATATAATTATTTTATAATATTTCTAATTTTTCTTTTTTAATTTAAGGTAAATATTGATTTATTTAATATTGAATTATCTTTAAATAATAATATAAATCAAACAGATACTTCAATAACTACAATTAAAAATGAATATGAATCAAAAAAATTAATGATTAATGATTCAATGAATTTTTTACAACGAATTATTAATGAACATGAAAAAGAAATATTAGAAAAAATTCAAAATATCGATGAAAATAATAATAAATTAATGGAAGATTTTAAAATTCGATTACAAAATGAATTACAACAATTAGATATACAAAAAACAACATTAGAAATTCTTCTATCAAGTAATGATCCAATGAAATTAATGTATGCTAGACAAGATTTTTTTGATTATATAAATCGAAGAAATCGAATATTACAAGGATTACAATTACCGACAAAACATATTTATTATATTGAAGGAATTGATCAAATACAAAATGTTAGACATAATATTCTACAATGTGGACAATTAATTGATATTTTAAAACAACCAGATGAAACTATAGCATATTATAATCCACAACTTGAAAAATTAATTATTGATAATCAAACACAACAAGAATGGAATTTCGAACGAAAAATTATGATCGATGAAGATATGAAAATTATAGCTGATGCATTAAAAAATAATACCGTAAGAAAAAAATTTTTCTTTTTATTATTCACATGTATTTTATGAAACACTATATAGTGAATTTTTAATTATCAAGTATACATTCGAACTTTTACAAAACTATGCAAGCCTCAGATTTCTATATTTAGTTATTCAAGAGTCATAGATGTTCTAGTCCACAGCGCTGTATCTTGCTGTTATGAAAAGTTATTTAAAAAATACCCACTCATCTTTTTTTCTTTAAATGAGCATTAGTAGCAGTGATGCCAGCAGTTTTGGTCAGGGGAAACTGAAGAAATATGTTTCGAAATAAATAGCAGCTACATCGTATTTCATATTTTAATTCCGCAAGAATTATGCTAACAGCTTTTTTTGTGTTTGTTCATGTAGAGACTTATTGAACTTCATTTGCCTCAATGTCAAATCAATGATCAAGGTGCAAAATATCTTGCTGATGTTCTTCAACACAATAATGTAATAATATTATTACATTATTTTCTTTTTTATCAAACATTTCTATTTATATATAGACATTAATTTCACTTTACTTATATAAAAATCATATAAGTAATTACGGAGTACGGTTTCTTGCTGATGCACTTATACAAAATAACGTAAAATTATTTATCATTTTTCTATCATTGTTTTTTTTTTCATAGACTTCTTATTGTATCTAGACACTAACTACACTTGATCTCTCTCAAAATTATATTAATGATCAAGGAGTTCGATATCTTGCTAATATGTTACAGCAAAATAGAGTACCA